CTGTGGATCGCATATTTGGCACGCACATGTCTTTGTGCTGGGAATGTGCTGCACGGTGAGCTCGAAGCACTAACATGATCGCTTTTGATAGCCTCTGTATTGGCTATCACAGTGATCAGTCACTGTGAAGCCACACCCCCTTGTTTTTTTTTCTCTCTGAATGGAGGCGAGAGATTAATTCTCTCTAGCTTTCCCTCTCCCTCCTCTCTCTCTCCCTCTCCCTCCCTCCCTCCCTCCCTCTCTCCCCCCCCCTCTCATCCCTCTCTCCCTCCCTCCCTCCTTAACCTCTCCTCTCTCCCTCCGCCTCCCTCCCTCCCTCCCTCCCCCTCCCGCCCTCCCTCCCTCTCTCCCTCCTCCCCTCCTCCCTCTCTCCCTCTTGCCCGCCTCCACCTCTCTCCTCTTCCCTCTCTCCCTCCCGCCTCGCCCCTCCCCTCCTCCCTCTCTCCCTCCACCCTCCCTCCCTCCCCTCCCTCCCTCTCCCCTCCCTTACCCTCCCTCTCTCTCCTCCTCGCTCCCCTCCTCCTCCTCCCTCCCCCTCGCCCTCCCTCTCTCTCCCTCTCCCTCCCGCTTCTCATCCCTCTCCCTCCCTCCCTCCCTCCCGTTCTCCCTCCCTCCTCTCCCTTTCTTCCACCCTCCCTCCCCTGTTCCCTCCCTCTCTCTCCCTCCCTCTTCTCGCCCCCTCTCTCTCCTACTCTCCCCCCCCCCTCTCTTCTCTCCCCCCCTCCCCCCTCTCTCTCTCCCTCACCCCCCTCTCCTCCTCCCCCCCTCTCTCTCTTCTCTTATCTCTCTCCCTCTCCCTCCCCCCTCTCTCCTCGCCCCTCTCGACGCCCCCCCTCTCTCTCCTCTTTACCCCTCTCCCCCTCTCTCCCCCTCTCCCCCCTCTCTCTCCCTCCGCTCTCTTTCTCTTTCCCCTCTCGGCCCTCTCCCCTCGCTCTTGCTCTTCCCCTCGCGCTCTCTCTTCCCCCCTCCTCGCGCTCCCTGGTGCTTTCCCCCTCTCTCTGTTCCCCCTCCTCTCCCGCCTCTCTTTCCCCCTATCTCTCCCCCCCTCCCCTCTCCTCCTCTCCCCATCTCTCTTCTCTCCCCCTCTCCGCCTCTCCCTCTCGCCGTTCTCTCTCCTCTCTCCTCCTCTACCCCCCCCTCTTTTCTCTCTCCCTCGCTCTCTCTCTCCTTCTCTTCTATGCTCTCTCTACCCCTCGCTTTCTCCCCTCTTTAGTTTCCTCCCTCTTTCCATCCCCCTCTCCCCTCTTCTCTCTCCCCCTCTCCCCTTGCATCTCCCCCCCTCTCCGCTCCTCTCACCCGCTCTCTCCCTCTTCCTCGTCACCCCCCTCTCTCCTCCCCCCCACCACTCGTCTCCCATCGCGGCCGCTCACTCCCTCTCGCCCGCCCCCCCTCGACTCCGCTCTTCCTCTCACCCCCTCCCTCCCACTCCCCCCCCCCCCCTCCGAGACACTCTCTCTTCCCCTCTCCTCCCCCTCCCGCTCCCTCCTACCTCCTCCCTCTCCCCCCGCGCTTCCCCTCCGCTCCCCCTCTCCACTCCTCCCCCTCCCTCCCTCTCTCCCCTACTCCTCCCCTCCCTCCCCTCTCCCCTCCCCCCTCCCTCCCCTCTCTCCCCCCCTCCCTCCCTCCTCTCCTACCCCTCTCCCCCCCTCCCTCCTCGCTCCCCCCCCCCCCCACCCTCTCCCCCTCTCCCGACCCCCTCCCCGCCCTCTCCCCTCCCCCCTTCCTCCCTCCCTCCCACCTTCTCCCTCCCCCCCTCTCCCTCCTCCTCCTCTCCCCCCGCCCCCATCTCCCCGCGCCCTCCTACTCCTCCCCTCGCCCTCCCTCCCCTCCTCCCGCCCCTCTCCCCCCCTCCCTCACTCGTCGCCCACCTCTCCCTCCCTCCCTCTCTCGCTCGGCTCACTTCTCCCCTCCCTCTTTTCCTCTCTCTCTCACTCTCCCCCCTCCCTCTTTTCCTCGCGCTCTCTCTCGCCCCCCTCCCTCTCCCCCCTCCCTCTCTCCCCCCCGCTCTCTCTCTCTCCCTGGTGGGCTTAGTGGGCCTCTTTGGGTCGCAGAGTGGGGTGAGGGGGCAATTTTGCGCCACGTAGGTATAAGTGTGCTGACACCATCACAGAAATCATCACTTTTATCACTCTGCATGAGTTATTGTCATTTGGAGCACTATTTGGAGGATCTATGTACTTTATTTTATTTTTGAGTGCAATATATTTTGAAATTATATATTTGAGCGGATTTGGGTCACTTTTATCACTGCTCACTTGAAGTGGGGTATATTTATTTTATTCATGGAGGGTTTGTTTATATGTAATGACACACTTATTGATTGGTCAATAAGGCACAGGTTCTGAAGTTTTATCAGGACCTCAGCTCACATAATATTTGAAACACTTTTTTTGGAGCACATTGTGGCACTTTATATAGAATTTTGTATCACTCTTTATATATTTAGTTACATGTGTGGCTTATTCACATGATATGATATTGGGTTAATATTTTAGGAGCGCTGCACTATATTATCACATATATGGCATCCCCTGCAATCGTCAAGAGCTGGAGAATTTATTTTGGGTTGTCCTTTGGTGGTACGTTATGGTAGTAACAAGAAACACACATCTAAATTAAAAAAAAAATTTTTTTTACTATTTTGGGCCAGTTTTTCATTACCATTTACCACCAAATTAAAGCCCAATTTGTCCTGAAAAAAAAACAAGGTATTATTAACTTGGATGTACAAAGTAGTTGTAATGACATGTACGATTTTACTAACACATGTCAAAGTTGTAAAATTTAACTTAGGCTTTAAGATTTGTTTTACCCTTAGGTGTGAAGGGGTTAAAAGGAGCTTGGTGCTTGAAATCATTGTTATTCCTCTGTTAACTGGTTTACCTGCAAGGAAACATGTGCAGTCATCATTGCTTTGCACAAAAAGGGATTCACAGGCAAGGATATTGGTGCTACTAAGATTGCAGCTAAATCAACCATTTATCAGATCATCAAGAACTTCAAGGAGAGAGGTTCAATTGTTGTGAAGAAGGCTTTCAGGTGCCCAAGAAAGTCCAGCAAGCGCCAGGACCATCTCAGTTGATAAAGTCAATTCAGCTGCGTGATCGGGGCACCACCAGTGAAGAGCTTGCTCAGGAATGGCAGCAGACAGGTGTGAGTGCACCTGCACACAGAGTGAGATGAAGAATTTTGTGGATGGCATGGTGTCAAGAAAGGGAGCAAAGAAGCCACTTCTCTCCAGGAAAAATATCAGGAACAGACTGATATCCTGCAAAAGGTACAGGGATTGGACTGTTGAGGACTGGAGTAAAATCATTTTCTCTGATGAATCCCCTTTCCGATTGTTTGGGGCAACCAGAAAAAAACCTTGTCTGGAGAAGAAAGGGTGAGCGCTACCATCAGTCCTGTCTTATGCCAACAGTAAAGCATCCTGAGACCATTTGTGTGTGAGGTTGCTTCTCAGCCAAGGGAGTGGGCTCACTCACTCAGAACTCAGCTATGAATAAAGAATGGTACAAAAAACATTCTCTGAGAGCAACTTCTCTCAACCATCCAAGAACAGTTTTTGGTGACCATTAATGCCTTTTCCAGCATGATGGAGCACTAAGTGGCTTGGGGAACAAAACATTGAAATTTTGAGTCCATGGCCAGGAATCTCCTCAGACCTTAAAGTGTTTCTAAACCCACAACAGTAAAATCAGCCTGTATATGCAGTAAAGCATGCTTGTTATAATCATTGTGGAACCTAAAGGGTTAATCCTCTGCATTGTGCGAAGGCTCTGTTCTTCCCCTTGTTTAAACGGCCACCTCTTATCTCCTGATAAAACAGACAGAACGGTAGGCATTTTACACGTGCTCAGTTTGGTGTGTATTGCTAGAGAGGTTTTTTTTTTTCTTAGGAGAGTGCATGTGTTCAGCACAGGGCCAATTAGCACTGTCCAGACAGAGGTCAGGGGTTTTGCATCATCCTAGAGCAAAATTAAAACTCCTCCTATAGGTTTTAGCTAGTGTTTGGCTGAACACTGATAGAAGTCACAACACTGCTTTAACTTCTGATGAGAAAAGGTATTTAGAAGTTTATACTTACTAAAATAATTGCATTTCTGTGTTCTGTGGGAGACCAGATGTAGTGAATGCAGGGTCCTGGGTTTAGTAACACACTAATCCCATTGAGAGTTTGTGGTCAATCCTCAAGAGGCGGGTGAACAAAAAACCCCCACAAATTCTGACAAACCCCAAGCATTGATTATGCACGAATGGGCTGCCATCAGTCAGGATGTGGCCCAGAAGTTCATTGACTGCATGCCAGGGCGAATTGCAGAGGCCTTGAAAAAGAAGGGTCAACACTACAAATATTGATTCTTTTCATAAATGTAATGTAATTGTCAATAAAAGCCTTTAGCACTTATGAAATGCTTGTAATTTTACTTCAGTATACCATAACATCTGACAAAAAGATCTAAAAACACTGAAGCAGCAGACTTTGTGAAAATGTACATTTCATTCTGAAAACGTTTTGCCAGGGCTGTAATGATAAAGCACAAATGGAAGTTCATACTCTGCTAGGTGAGTGCACTTTCATTTAAAATGTTCTATATACCTAGAGGACCCTTTCGCACCAGCCCTGGTTTGCTGCAAGATGTTAAACACGTGGATTAATGTGCATTCGTACTACAATGGTCATAAAGAATTTTTGCAGACATAGTGTACCACAATGCACGGTTGTACACACCACCCGCTGCAATGCATGTGCATCTGAGCCTCATTGCCTTAGTGCATTGTGCCTTTTAAAATGAATGAAACCACAACCCGTTTAAAGTGCGTGAATGAAGTGCATTGTTTGTACTGCTGCAGCCCACTGAAGTGCAGAAACAGTAGCTTTTTAACTACTGGAGAGATAATAATATTTTCCATTTCTCATCTCCCACATCTTAGTTAATGTAATCTGTTTTCAAACTTTATTTCCAATTTAATGTTCTTCCCTGTTTCATTCTGAACAGATTTGAAGTAGAAGACATACGAAATGTGGGTGTTTTTCAGAAGTGGTGCATCATACCTATTCTTGGGTTGATTGAGAATTCCTTACACAATGCCACCTTGCTGCATAACTCATTTTGCATTTTGCTTCAGATCCTCCATTCATGTTCAAAAGTAGCAGATATGCTCCTTGATAGCGGTCTGCTGTATGCTTTGTGTAACACACTGGTGACGTTATGTGCTATTGAAACACGGTCCCCCCCCCCTTCCCCCCCCCAGGTATGTTTAAACGTTGCTCTGCAGATGTGTGTATGATAATGCCCAGTAGGAAAATGCATATAAATGAGAGGTATAAAAAGTAAAAGTGCTGTTTATATGTATTAGTTGTTAAAGTGTATGTACAGCCAAATTTTTTTTTACTCTTGAACAGAGTAGGGAAGGGTTCAGTCCTTTGTTAGTTTATTATTTGCTGAGTCCCACTGGGCAGATGTCCCTTTTCTTCCTGTCCTGTAGACGCATTGGGAAGTAGAGAAAATGTTTTCCAAATGAGGCTAATTTTCTTCTTAGATAGTTTTTCCCTTAAACAGGTGTGCCCTTTGGAAAATTTAGTGTCTCCTGTTCTGATGACCACTATAAAATTTTAAATTTCCCATTACCTTTTGTCTGAATGGTAATTTTAAGCAACAGACAGCATGGATTCATGAAAGACAGAAGCTGTCAAACAAATCTGATTTCTTTTATGAGGAGGTGAGCAAAACCTTGGACAGAGGGGTGGCGGTGGAAGTGGTTTACTAGGATTTTGGAAAAGCGTTTGACACAGTTCCCCACACATGGCTAATGTGTAATGTAAAAGTCTATGGGCTTGGGAAAATCCGTATGTAAATGGATAGAAGCTGGCTAAAAGATCGTATTCAGAGAGTAGGGGTTAATGATTCATACTCTGAATAGTCTATGGTTGTCAGTGGTGTACCCCAAGGTTCAAGTGTTGGGACCCTTACTTTTTAATATGTTTATAAACGATATAGGGTCTGAGATTAAAAATCCCATTTCAGTCTTTGCAGATGACACCAAGCTGTGCAGTGGAATAGCGTCCTTACAGGATGTCTCCAATTTACAAGCCGACCTCAATGCACTGTTTAATTGGGCAACTATGTGGCAAATTAGGTTTTTTGTTGATAAATGTAAGGTTCTTCACTTGGGGGCTAAGAATATGCATGCACCATACATACTAGTTGGAGTACAACTGTTGGAATCAATGATGGAGAAGGATCTGGGGGTTCTGGTAGATCACAAGCTTAATAATGGCATGCAATTGCCAAGCCGAGGCTTCTAAAGCGAGCAAAATCCTCTCTTGTTTAAAAAGAGGTATAGACTCCAGAGAGAGAGAGATATCATATTACCCCTGTACAAATCATTAGTAAGACCTCATCTGGAATATGCAGTTCAATTTTGGGCACCAATTTACAAAAAGAATATTGGGGAACTGGAGAAAGTACAGAGAAGGGCAACCAAACTGATAAGAGGCATGGAGGAGCTCAGCTATGAAGAAAGATTAGAGGAACTGAATTTATTCTCTCTTGAGCAGAGGAGATTAAGGGGGAATATGATCAACATGTATACATTTAGCAGTGGCTCATATAGTGAACTCGGTGTAGAGTTATTCACCCTGAGGTCATCACAGAGATCAAGGAGGCACTCTTTATGTCTAGAGGAAAAGAAATTTAATATCCAAACACGGAAAGGTTTCTTCACAGTAAGGTTTGGATTCTGTCTTAGATACACAGAATATAACTGGATACTAACATTTATAGATAAAGTTGATCCAGGGAATATCCGACTGCCTCTCGGGGGATCAGGAAGGAATTTTTTTCCCCTTCAGGAGTAAATTGGATCATTCTTTGCTGGGTTTTTTTTGCCTTCCTCTGAATCAACTGTGGGTATAGGATTATAACTTTTTTTTTTTTTTTTTTAATGATTGAACTGGATGGACTTTTGTCTTATTTCAGCCAGACCAGCTATGTAATGGCAACCAGGACAGTTGGGGAGGGCAAATCTAGCCAGTGGGGACAGACAGCAATACAAATTTGCCAAGGTTAATTCCCTACCCTGTCTGAAACTGAAAAATAATCTATTTTAAACAAGAAACTTCTTTCATTACATATGAAAATAGTCATGCTAATGATATGAGACTGAAGCTTCACCTGCTGGCTAAATAAAAGACTACAGAATATTAATATGCAATAATTCATATTTACCTGCTTACGAAAAAATTTTTTGTTTAAATTGTACTTTTGATTATTTACCATATTTAACAAAGCTATACATGCAAAACCAGTATACCTGCCCTTGAACTGTACAGATTTTGCATTATTTCTCTACAGACATTGAACTATTTAATTCAGGAGAGATTTTTGTAGATTTACTGTGCTGTGGTATGGTTTTTGTTTGTTTGAAATAACATTTTAGTTTCACATTTTGTTATGTAAACATGTAATTTTAATCTTGAGCACATGGTACTGAAAATAAAAACTGGTTCATACATGCCAGTGTCCTCATAGGGTTGTGATGCCCAAAATAAACAGTCATTCAGACCACTTCCTTCACTTAGTTTGTCTACGTCTCCTCTTGGCTCTGAGAAAATGTATTTACTAGTCATAAAACTGCTTGAATTCTCAAGGTAAAACCCAAAACAAATCTTTACAGAATTTCAAAAGGAGGGCATCATCACCCCCCCCCCCCCAAATGTGGCTGCACAACTACAGTAAAAACCTGGCTTAGACTCTGCCTTTGAGGCAGCCAGTTTAATCTGGCGAAACCAGTTAGGCGAAACTCCAACATGCACCCAACCTCTTCCAGGACGCAAGCTGTTTCTTGTATGATGCAGCTACCGTTATGAGTACTTAGAACCTCCATGGGCAATACTGGGTGGCTTACCCTTGCTTTGTGATTTCATGTGGACTTGGCTATATGGCCCTACCACTATATGCTTCTTTTGCCATCGTGTGTTTAGACTTTCTTATCTGCTGGTGTGTGAGGGAGGAGTTAACAGAAGTCTTTTGTTATGTATCTGCAGTTGATGGGGGGACATCTATAGTTTGGTCTGCCTTGACTGCTCATTTTTTATATCCTGTGGACCTTTGTGCCCACTGAATATATATTTAGGGTATCACCAGCTGGGCTAAGGAGCTCCAAGTGGGAATCCTTTACATTTTGTCAAACAGATGATCTGCATGGGATTTTAACTCTGCACACTATTTTCAGGAGCCGATTGGAACATATACATCTCGAGAGACTATTGAGCCACCATATTGCCTTTGAGTTTTTGAAGGACTATATATCTATATTTTTGTAGTTGTCTGCACCTCTTTTGTTCAGCAATCTTGTGATTCTCATGAACTTCTTACATAGAAATGATGTCACATATTTTTGCTATACATAAGATTATTTTATATGGGAAAAACTTGAGAAACGGCTGTTTTTGTCAATGATGTTATAATGTGTTAGTCTTTGATTTTATGGTATTATATTAAATAAACTGTAGTAATATGCTTTGGTCAGGTGGAGTGTCTAATTGTGGAGAAGTAATATAAATAGCATATCAAGATATTTTTTTTGAAGATTGGCTAATATAAGGAGGTAAGCCAGGCTTTTACGTAGTTTTGCATTAATTTACTAGTCAGCAGCGCGGGTGTAGAATGTCCTTCGCCTTCAATTATTATGAATCTGTGCAGGCTGAGGTCATTCTGTACCTGTTCTGCTGCTGCCTAGTGCATAACTTATTCAGGGCTAAATGGGAGATGTAAACATAAACAAAGTATGGAAAGCAGTGGCAGTTTTCAGGACATTCTGAATGAATTGATTAAAGAAGTTCACATTTTAACAAAAAATAATAAATGCACATTTTTTGCAGGTAAAAAATGTGCATTTATTTTTGCTTCTGGAAGCATGTAATGCATTGCACCAGCGATCAGCACATAGCTTTTGCCATGCAGGTCTCAACCTGACCTGTCAGTGTATCTGGTTGCTTGTATATCATGTATGGGCAAGCAGATACTGACAGGAAGGCTCAATTAACTACCATGGCGCTATGGAGTGCCGTGGTAGTTAATTGAGAACTACAAGCCAGCAGCCGCAAAGGCTGCCCAGACTTGTAGTTTTCCCATTCACAGAATACTGTGAATGAGTGATGCTGCCAGGTGGGCGCAGTCCCACTCGGCTGTGTGTTTTTTTTTTTAAATTGCGACAGCTAGTGGGATTGAGAAAATCTCTCCCGCTGACTGTCAGCGGGGATCGAGGGGGTGCAGAGGCCAGTTTGTTTCGTAACATGTTACAAAAGGTGAACCTATCCTTTAAAAACAATGCGCATGGGCCCTTATATACATATTTATTTATTTAATCATCACTGTAAGAGAAAATTTACTTTTTTTTGATTGTGTCTTCTAGTATCTCCCTGGATGAATACATTTTACTTGCCTGTGATTTACAGCAGCTGCTGATAGCTGTCACAATCCATGCCTGCAGTTCCTCTGGACCTCAGTATTTTCGTATTGTTGAAGATTTAATTATACTACTTGGATATTTGACTGAAAGCAAAAATGAAAACTTACAGTGTACGTTTTTTTGTTGTATTTGTACCTTCACATGAGATGGGGAAAATTACATTGTAGTTGCCTTTAAATTCTCTCCTCACTGGTCTACCTCTACACAGGCTATCCCCCCTTCAGTGTTTTATGATGATGCTCCTGATAGGCTAATACAACTTACTAACTGTCTGACTGCTGCCCCCCTCTGCAAATCTCTTCACTGGCTTCCCCTACCCCATCCTATAAAATTCAAAATATTAACACAACTTACAAGGCCATCCACAACATTGCCCCCAGCTACATCACCAAGCTCATCTGCAGATTTTGCCCAAATTGTCCTATCTGCTCTCAAGACCTCCTGCTCTCTAGCTCCCTTGTTACCTCCTCCCAAGGTCAGCTCAAGGACTTCTCCAGAGCCTCTCCCATCCCCTGGAAATCCCTGCCCCAGTATGTCCTTTCAGCTCCTACCCTGTCCGCATTTAGGCAATCCTTGAAAATTAATTTCTTCAGGGAAGCCTATCCCACCTTCACCTAAGAACTGTTCACCTAAGAACTGTATCTGAGTCACCCCCATTAAATCATCCCCTACAACTATTACCTTTTGTACCCCCCCCCCCCCCCCCCTCTCCTTTTAGATTGTAAGCTCCATGAGCAGGCCCTCCTATTCCTTCTGTTTTGTAATTGTACTGTTCCCCCTTTATATTGTAAAGCACTGCATAAACTGTTGGCGCTATATAAATCCAAAATAATAATCATGATAGATATGGGTCAACTTTCAGCATCTGTATACACAGTCCTTTTAACCACTAGAGGATTTTGAGCATACAAGGCATGCCTGAAAAAAATATAATTAAAGTGTGATTAAAGAGAATACTTTTTTTGTTTTTATATAGAGTGGAGAGGGATTATAACACCTGGTATTTACCCCTTTCACCAAGACTGAAAGTAAATCCCAAATTTTGGGTTGTTTCCAGAAAAGGAATAGAGGGAAAATCTTCCAATGGGAATACTAGTTCTGGTGAGCTTAGTGAGAACCAGGTGTTTCCCTTATTTTAGACTGACCACCTCTCATTTCTTGTTTTGGCTATGGTACAGGAAGTGAAAGGAAATCCCCCAGTGGGGCAAAAAAACTGACAAGGGTTATAATCTTCTTTATTCTATCCAAAATGCCTTTAGCTCTACATATGTAGTGTATAATGGCCGTAACTCACTCTCCCATTGTGAAACCACAGAGATAGCTGGCCCCAGCTCTGTGTTACGAGAGCCTGCATAGCAGGTGCTGTACAAATGAAACCTGCAAACAGTGAAGATTGGCACATGCAATTTTGATTATTATTGTTACAATGTGTTTAGACTAATCCCTTTGTTCTTCATATAATGTCAGTTATATCAACATGACAAATAGAACAAAAAAAACTGTTAGTTCTAAAATAGCAAAAATTCATATATAAAGTTTTGTTCCGTTGCGTTCAACAAATGCACATTTTTTTTTTCTCTCCTGAACTGCCTGCAATGTAAATGTATTTTGATGCCATGAGTTCTGAAAGCATTTACATATTATCCTATAAATGTTATTAGAAAAATCCATAATCCGGATTGTAAGTTGTTTTTGCCTTTTTTCTTTAGAAATACCGTATATTTTTTGCTTTAGGTGATAATATTTAATCTTATTTCTTTTTTTTTCTATGTAGGCATGGCAGTTTTAATGCAGTTCAAAATTTTGCATTCAGCTATTGAATTTATAAAGACTACTTCATATCAAGATTCCCATTCTGTGAGCAGCTTCAGCCATTCTTCTCATTTTAAGCATCCTAAAAAAAGAGGTATATCTGGTAAGTGAGGAAACCACTTATAAAAAAGTAATTTACTTCAATGAACAATGTAAAAGTACTAATTTTGTTTTCATACACCATTACACCCTCACAACACCACTACCAAAAGCAATGTAGCTGCCTGAAGCTATTGTAAAGAAAGGGCAATTAAAGCTTTTTCAAGATAATACCTAAACTGAGGAAGCTGTTTAACTATATGATGTGAATAATAGTAAGGGAATTTAAAGAGGAGCTCCAGCCATTTTGGGGTTTAAACACTGTAACTGCTGACTTTTAATAAACAGACACTCATCCAGTGATGTACTCACCCAAGCCGTCCCTTCCCTCAGTCTTCTGTCCCCGGTGCTGGCATCTCAACTTTGGGCACCTGACTGTGACAGCTTGTGGTTTCACAGTTGGGTGGCCACTACGCATTGCGCAAGCCACTCTGTACATTGTGAATGGTCCTGTAGTCTACTGGGATCTGCCCCGTGTCCCAGAAGACTGTGGGAAGGGAGGGGGGAGGAGAACGTCCGCTTCTGATCACCTAGGTTGTTGGAGTGGAAGTGGGAGAAGGTACCTGTCAAAATCAGGTACCAGCTCCCCCCCCCCCCCAAAAAAAAAATAGTACCATTCAGGGAAGAGGCGGGGAGCCTTAAAGTGGAACTTCCTCTTTTGGGTGGAGCTCCTCTTTAATCAGGCTGTGATAATAGTAATGTAATTTAATACCAAAAATCAAACATATTCCTAATATATCAAAAAGTAGACGTTCAGAATGTTCAAAGATAGTATTTGTTTTTTGTTCTTGTTTACTCCAGAGATCCTTTTAACTTTAAATTTGTGGATATACTGATGTCAATAAAGGAAACACTCCTTCAGACATCTCAGGATAACACTCAAATAAATGAATAAGAGAAGGTACAGCACTGTGAAGCTATCATGCACACACATGGAGCTAGTGGTGTGGTGTGGAGTGTCGTAGTCTTGGAAAGATTGAGCTGACATATTTTAGTGCTGGTTAAGCAAGCATGCTGTGTGAGTGATTTTAATGGCTTTTGTTTTTAACTTTTAATGAATCCATTGCACTATGGTGGTCTCCTCATTCCTCTTTCATCCATGTACTGTATATGAGTGTTATCTTGAGATCTCTGGAGGAGTGGTTTCTGTATTGACAGCGGTTTATCTGCTAATTTCTTGTAAAAGCTTGCTAAGACCTACTTAGTAATTTAAAAGGATAGGTGAGTCTTTGTCTATGGGGAAAGTGTGTCTGTGGTGGAGGAGTTAACACCTTATTTTCTGGTGTAGAGCACTGATTTGAAATGGACACTTTATGAGCTTATCTGAACTGCTTACTGCTATTGCTGAACTGGATCTGCACTTTGAATTGCAATGCTGTATGAGAGAATTTCATTCCCCTGGGAATTTTATAATGACCTTTTTCTCGCCTGTTGTCTATACACTTTATATTGGACATTTTTTTAACTCAGGCAAACAGCCAATTGCTATTGTAACGCAGAATTTCACTTTGAATTGTATTGCAGCACTGAGATAGTTGTACTCCTTAGGGGGTTTTATATGAATGTTTTTCACCTAATGTCCATGCTCTTTTATGTTTTGGAGCATTTGTAGCGCAGATTTATTTATAACATATATTTTGGTAAGGTTCTATTGCTAGGTTTTTTTTTAGCGCTGTGTCATATTCATTTTTCATGCTTATATCCCTGTACACCCGTGTGAAGGAGTATCTTCAGCCACCTGGGATGCACAGGTGTTCCATGCTGGGGTGTGCATGCAACCATTGTCTGTTCTTCTAAAATAATGGGAAAAATACAGGAAGAAAAAAAACACAGGTCATCCTCCTCACTCCTTGGTGGCCAAAGCAAGAGAGCCAGATTCTAGACTTTAACCCAGCTTTCCAAAGACCTGTGACAGAAGTTTTTATTATTCCAGGGTGTAATATTTTAAAGGGTGAATTCTAAATGATGCACATTTTTTGGTTCTCTCAAAAAAAAAAAAAAAATCATTTATCTTAAATGAGCTGTAGCTGAACTAACGAGAGGATGTGTACACACACACACACTCTGCATGTAAATAAACTTTTATTCTTAAAAAAATCACCATACAAAAGGGTGATGCGAAGAAATGGACAAAGCCATACATCATAGCGTTCAACAATATATATGCAAATCAAAAAAATCATATACATAAACTATTCAGATTCTTAAAAAAAGTGTTCTCTTTACATAAATATACTTGTAGACTGAATTTTGTATGGAGTTTTATTGATTTGCTTGTATACTTATATATAGATATAGGAGGATGAGAGCTCAGTATTGATTTATTTGTATATTCTGTGCACATATGATATTTTTGTGTTTTTATTTTTTACAAATAAAATTAAGTGGTAGAAAAGTGCTGCTAGAAGTTAGTAAGTAGTTAGTAGTAGTTGTAAATATTTTTTTTATTGTTTAGTTGGTGGTTAGGCAGGGTGATGGGAGCTTTTCACTATATTTTATTAATGAATGTGGTGATGTTAGTAGCACTGGGATATATATAATTTTTGATTTGTGATCATGTTTTCTAAAACTTGATATCTTTTAGCTGCTCATAGATTATCCTTTGCCCAGTCCGACCCACTACTGATGACCATGCGTTCAGTTGCCAGCAGCGAGCTTACAGAATTGATGCACAGAAGAATGAGTCAGGAAAATCCAATAAGGGCCTCAGAATCAGAATTTGTCCAACGGTTACAGAGATTAACTGTCCTGTCTGTCAACAGGTTAATTTACCAAGGTATTTCCTATTCAGAGATCTCAGTTTTAAGCTTCACATTAAAATAAGTAACATAAAGGACTTATACATTATGTAAAAATGTATAATGCATGCACCTGCCTTCATATTTTATGCCATTTGTGTACATTATGAGAGGACTCTAAAATAATTCCTACCAACACTTAAAAGTGTTGATCACCTTTTTTATTTTGCATCTTCCTCAGTCAGCTGGTGATATTAATGGTGATTCTATCATGTATAGTTTGTCTTTTTTTTGTATGTATTTTAATTATGCAGTGCTAACTTTTCCACAAAAGCGTGAACCTTGGTATTTAGTGTATACAAACCTTGGCTATTAAGCTTTCAGGTCAAATACCTAATTTGCCCCCTGGTATCCCTCAAGGCAACCTGAATGCCTATTTACTGCTTTTTGAGGCACCTACAGTATGTTACATTATTTCCAAAAGTGTGAAGAGGTCAGTGTATGAGAGTTCAGGTTTCTCCCAAGGTAGAAATTTCCTACCTGAGCACTGTCAGCTGACAACAGACACCTACAGGCACTGTAGTTACTTAATTGAAAGTGGACCTGATGTGCAGGCATTTAGAGGTGGTCTGTGTGCAGACAGTGCTGGACTATGTTCACAAGATGTCCTGGTTTGCAGAATTTAAGGCGCACCAAAGACCGTGTCTTTACATCTGCAAGTATGTGCATGAATCTTCAGTGCCTTTTCTTAACCTCCTCGGCGGTATGATTCTTTCCGATATTTTGCGCTGAAAGCAGTACCATTTTTTTGCATGAAAATATGTAGTTTTTTATTGTAAGCTGTAATTTTTAGTAATAAATCACTGAAATCTGTACGAACAGGAGTCTAGTAAACATTCCGGATATGATAAAACTTGAAACACGAAATCATAAATTATAATTTAATAAATAATCATAAAAAATAATAATATAATAATAATAAATTTAATTCAATAATATAATCAAACCAAAAACACTGAAATTTGAAAATACAGAGGCAAATTCGCACATCGCTGAGAAAAGTCGCAAAATCGTTTTCAGTGTCTGATGACGAATTTCCCCCACAAATCATTATCACTCAATTCTGCAAGTGGTTCTGATTTACTATCGCTGTTCTAAAACCGCTTTTGACGTAAAGGGACGCTTTTTGGACACCATGGACTTTTCTAAGTTTTCAGGCAGAAAGAACAATCAAAATGCAGGCAGGGCACAGGACAAAGCAGTAGGGACAAAATATATGTGAAATGCATTGAAACAGCAATGACAGCAAAAATGACATTTTTTAAAAAATTTCAAATTTCCCTGCCGGTTCCGGCGCCCGTACGTCCCGACGTCACAGGGACCGGAACACGGAAGCCGGATGCCGGCATCGGCTGGAGGAGATGGCCGGGGAAGCTGCAGGGGACACATCACGGGAGCGAAGGACAAGGTAAGTGCTGCAAGGACCCCCTGAGCAACGCCGCATGGTAAGCCCCGAGTGTAGCTCGGGGTTACCGCTTTTGGTACACAAATTTTACCCCGAGCTACACTCGGGAATACCGCTAAGGAGGTTAAAGGATCATGTTAGGTTAATATTCTATCCCACACTGCACAGGGGAAAAAGTGTAAATGTACAGCCCATGGAACTTTCTCTGTTAAGAGTAACATGCACCAATATCTGTAAATAGCCTGGTGTGGCCAAATTCATATGGAAATCTCCTATCCTCTGTCGGTTGCTCCAGGTTGAAGAGCTCTGCTTCCCTGAACATTTGGATAGGAGAGGTTGGTTGCTGGGAACAGGAGGGGCATGTGCATCCAAGGGCACAGCGGGGGGGGGGGGGGGGCTTACTATCCTAGGTCATATATACATACTGGGAGTGTGCACATAGGGGTGACTCCATCGGACACAGTAAGAAGGAGTAGTTTCTGAAGCAGTGGACAGTAGAACCAGAGCTGAGGGAATGACCAGAATCAGGTGGAAAGAAGAATAAGTATACATCAGGATGCTTCACACAAGCTACGTCTTTACACTAGCATTATTGAAAAAATAATCCTTGATGTCAGTTTAAGATCTGTGGTTCTCTTGAAGTAGCTTTTAACACCAATACTCTATCTGGAGTTTTTTTTAACTTGTTTAAGTGTAACTGCATTTATTTTCGCTGATACAAATATTTAGATGGCTACTACATTAATGCTTTACTTCACAATGATGAGATGTAAATCTCTGTCAAATTGTTTGTTTTAGAATTCTCAGAGAAAAAGACACACCAAGGATTACGAGCGGAATTACCAGAAGATGAGATGCAGTTGGATGTTTGGTGTGTCAAAAAGGCATTTCAAAGCGACCTGTTAAAAACTATGATCGAAGGAATCAAGCTTTCATTGGTATGTGGCTTGATTTTGCTTACTGTAGTTGGTACATTAACTTACTGGTTTATCGTAATTGTATTCAAATTGACAGCATGGTAAAAAATCATTTTTTCTAAATAGTTCCCATATACTCTAGATTCAAATGATCACTCTACGTAAATATGGTAATTCAGTTGTACGAGGAGTGTTTTAATCTCGTAGTTGATTTATTTTTTGTTAATGTAACATTTAGGGGATTACAGATAAGCTGTTGGAACTCATACTAACACAACTAAAATCTGGTCAAACAGTATGGTTGTCTTGCCACCTGCTAACACACTGGCAAGCAGAAAACTTGAAAGGCAGCCCCCGTATAACCCGTTCTCTATCCAGCATGCCTTAGTTTTTTCTAGTGTCCTAGAAGATTGGGGCACATTTTTCTAGCTCTGCCTAAAATAGTCTAACTCTTTTTACTAGCCTTTTACCTTCATGGTATTTTTTCTTGACTTCAATCAAGATTCCTTGCTGCTCTGTTGCTTGAGCTGTTTTTTTCCATAGCAGCTATCCAGATCGACAGCTTCTCAGCATTAGCTTTGGAGGCTGTACCAAGAGTTTGATGGATTGAACAAGCTGGTTTATCATGGAATGACCTTCAGACACTGGGCTCTGCAATGTAGTGCTCTCCATACCTTTGTATACTGCTTTACTTAGCTGTAGGCTGCTTTTCAGATCCTGTAAAAGGGCAGAGGGACATCACCCTTCTCCTTCATCCACTTAAGCAGTAGCTGCCCATGGGCATTTTAAACCTACTCTGCACTCAGGTCATGACGCTTGAATTTCAAGATCATCTAACCCCTCAGTTCAGCCTTCTGCAGATACATCCCCACTTCAACAAGTGGAATGAGTTTGTTTATCTAGATAGGTCCTTGGGCAGTTTACCATCTCGGTATTTAGGGGCTCAGGTCATCCTCCATGGCAGTCATGCTAAACCTTTGTGTTTGTCATCTTCTTCAGCTACCTTTCATTGCCCTTGTCGTGTTACAGACCTTAACGGTGCCTTCCCAGGCTCTGTCTGGGATCACCACATCCTGGTGCTTCTCGTTTCTTCTCTGGTAAGTGCTTGCCTTTGAGAGTAGAATTCCAAATGTGGACTTACTACAGAATGGATACTACAGAAGTATTTATTCTTGGATACTGCTAAATTATTTGTGGTGCTTTCTAACCCTCAGCCTCACCCCTCCTCTGAAAGACCACCTGAGCCTAAGAGCTGACAAGGACTAGTTCTTATTATTCACCTAACCCAGGTCAGACATTTCCATTTAGTGTCTTCTGGAAACACTTGTCCCAGCCCACAGAGCTGTATCTTATATGCTCCCACATATGGGCCCACAGCACGGGGCCCAGTGCTTTTTTAAGACATCTCAATTCTGGAACACTCATAAGACCATTCCTGAAGAGTTTGTTTTCTAGACTCTTGCAATCAGAACCCTTCTCTGGTCTGGACACCTGCAGGCCTCATCTAGATAAGACTTCTCAGGTGTCTAGTGTTAGTAACCTTGAGTCTCCAATAAGTGTTGCAGTGAACCTTCAGTCTTAACTAGGGAAATCCACCTTCTGTGGTCCTTTTTTCCGTTCTGCCCTTTTCAGGGCTTTTGGGGGTACCCTTCTATGTTTGGAAGCCTGGGCTCAGGGTGAGTCATCCAGAATGTCTCTGTGAACCAAGAAGTCCCAGACAGACTGTAATCCCTTGACAGGGAATGGAATTTATGCCCCCCCCAATCCTGTGGGGGTTCCTTTGACTGCTGTATTTCTACACTTAGAACTTTGATCTGGTTCCCTAGAATGGATAGTTCCGACTTCTTTGGGTGATCATCCGGGAAGTCAATATTCTAGCCTGATCTCCATTGGACATCATATAAGTGCTGCAAAACGTTTACCTTCAAGAAGGTCTAGGGACTCTCTCTGCAACAGGTCAAGTGACTACAGCGGATGACATGGACAGTTTCTTTCTGGATCGCACTGTCACTACTATAGATAAGGCCTTTGGATCTCCTCAACTGAGAGTCTTCACATTGAAGAGTGAAGGTTCAGCATTTGGGTGCCCTATTTTCTGGCTTGGCAGATGTATTCATTGCATATTAGTCCTGCACCTTCCTGGACTGCTAGAAGGCAGAACACACTGGTCCCCTGGTGCAGACATTCCCTATAGGGAATAGTGTAAGAATAGAGAACTTAATAGGACCCGATTGCCAGGTGATGGCCGAGTTGCAGTAGTAAGCAGAGTAAGTTCCTTCTCATTCCTTTCCTTTCCCAAATCAACTTTTTGTGCTTAGTAGTATAAGATTGCTCTTCAGTGGAGGATGTAGTGCTGCTCTGGAGCAGGTTGGATGATTCTTAAAACCATGTGTTTGAGTAAGGCTAGGCAGGTTTGCAGTGTTTGTCAAACTCAGGAACACCTCCAGGTGTTTGCATGGTAGGTGTTTTGCTTTTGATGACTATTTGCACCAGTTTGGGTTGCTGTATACCCTCATTCCTGCCTTGTCTTTATATGGGTTCCATTCTCTTACCTTAACTTCTCCTCCAGACTAACTTTGAAAAGTCATTATCTATGTTGATATATGGTGAGGACCCTCACAGCCATTGTTATCACTGTGAGATTGGTTGACCTAGGCAACCTTGCCTCTTTATGGAACCTTTTTTTCCTAAATTCTAAAGGTTAGGAGTGCTAGACTTGGACCTTTTCCATATCGCTGCCTGGTCTTCTCTCTTTTTTTCCTTTTTTTCTTTCTTTTTTTTTTTTCCTTTTTTCTTTCTTTTTTTTTTTTTTTTTTTTGGACCTTAATCTAGTAAATATTTAATGTATACCTCTATTAGTAGTTGGTCTAGTTTTCTTCTGCTCAGGTAGTGTTTTATTAAAGCCTGTTGTTCTTTCAGTTTGAAGCCTCCCCTAAATAAAGTTTACGCCATTCTTGTCTGAAAAAAACAGGTTGAATTTCTGTACCCTCCCCTTAGTCATGTCAGTTTGCCTGTCTTGCAGAGGGCTTTACCTCATCCAGCCTTGGTTTGGACATTGGTCCTTTAGATTTATCTGAAAAGTGGATGATTTGCAATTGTTTTTGGGATGTCTGTGTTGCACACCCTTCAGTATGACTGCTTTTGGACAATCTGAAATTGAGATACTTGCTGTAAAATCAGCTTCGTTGAGTCCATTGAGGGTCTGGCCCCTTTTGTGGTGTTTTTTTTTTTTTTTTTTTTTTTTTTTAACTGGTCTTATAACAGTATTCTGCTTGCTCACAAAACATGCTGGGTAGATGAGCAGTTATATGGGAGGAAAATGGGAGCAGACTTACAATGTTTTGTATGACACTGTCCCAACCTCCCATAGGTGACAGTATAACCTAATTATTAATGAATTATTGTGTCTCTTGAAGAGAAAGTTTACAGTAAATACAAATATTGTATTTTTGGGTGCACCGACCCTTAAAATATTAGTGTATACCATATCCTGCAGTGGCAGACCCAGGTAATCTTTGTGCTGTACATTTGTGGTAATTGTTTTTACCTACTACTGGCATAAATGTCTGTAAAAATTTGTTATGTCTAGGCTCCACATTGAATTGGTTTCAAGGTCTATATACCAGAAATTATTACTGAAAAGAGAAGCTTCTTCACACCTTAAATCCATAACATTACTCATCTCTCATTTCTATCAGTTATTATATTTTATTATATAATTATATAACAATTTATGCTTCAGTCTGAACTGTACTGTTGGCAGTACAGTGGCTAAATGGTTAGCACTTCCTACTGGCAGTACAAGAGTCATTGGTTCTAATCCCAACCATGGCACCACCTGCTTGGAGTTTGCATGTTCTCCCTGTGTTTGCATGGGTTTCATGTTCTCTGTGTTTGCATGGGTTTCCTCTGGATACTCCTGTTTCCTCCCACACCCCAAAGACATGCTGGTACGTTAATTGTATCCTGTCTAAATTGGCCCTAGTATGTGTATGCATGAATGTAAGTTAGGGACTTTAGAATGTAAGCCCCTTGAGGGTTAGGTTACAATACATATGTAAAGCACTGCGTAAATTCATGGCGCTATATAAGTACCTGAAATAAAATAAATAATACTGTTGGATTTTAACAGGGTTCAGGTAGAACCAGCTCTCCCAAGAATCCGTGGAAAATAATTCTGTTGCAGTGTAATGATACTTTCCGTGTTCAGCTTGGAAGACTCTTAGTACATCTTTTCTCTCCGTCTCGACCCATCGAAGAACGAAAAGAAGTCCTTGAAATAGTCAATGAACCTAAACATGAAGACATGTTAAAGGAATGCCTATGCCCAGGTTTACAAGTAAGTTCTACTTAAATATATATGGAGATATAATCCAGTTATAATTCATAATTATTATTTTATATTATAGGCAGCACATTTCATTTTACTTCCGGTCAGGACAAAAAGTTAGGGGAAATCTTAGTAGAGTGAGGAAACTGTAATACCCACCTGAAATGTCCCATCAGGAAGCTGCCCACTGTACATCTCCAAGTGGGGAATGCCTTGGACACTTAAAACTTCAGTATGCAGTGACAGTTTCATGGTGTGATAGTTCAGGTGGGTTCGGAGCAGGATCTGAACACGCCTGAGCTCATCCCTATTGCTGACAATGTTTTAATAATTGGCTGAATCTCCTTTCCCATAATTTATTGTACAGGGGTTGGAAGGAGAGGGAGTGAGAGAAAATCTTCTACTAGAACAAAAAATAATGGCTGGAGAGCAGTTATGCTTTAAGGATAGTCTGGTCATTTAAAATGCTAAGATATTTTTTATTGTTTTGGATAGACCTGGTCACCAAATGAATTTTATTGTAACTATTTTGTAACATTCAGATGAACGTTTTTAAAGTGTATGTTAAACAACCTGTATATTTTAAAATAGAAATGAATGGTAAAACATTTGTTCTTTTTTATAAGTGATCACATACCCTCTGTTCTCAGCTGCATAGAGAGGCAAGGGTAAAGAAACAGGAGAACACTGGTCTTCCCAGTGAATGGCTGTGTGGGATAGGGGTGTCAGGACAAGTCTGATCATTGGAGGAGAGAAAACTGAGTTTTTATAACTGACCACGCTGTGCTCCCTTGCCTAGTGTGCTCAGTTTTCAGCAGCCAGCTCAACCAGTATCAGAAGCGGCGCTTTGTAACCAAACAGTATCAACTTTCACATATCTGTGGAATATTAGAAGAGGTGCTGTCTATGCTATTGCAGAAGCAGCAGTACCTGCTGCTAGCTGGCCTGTATGCTTGCTCCTGCACTCTGCCTTAGACTGTATTGTGAACCTGGTTACATAGCATCATTGGAAAAAAGGCAGCATCATGAAGATCAACACAGACTGGGATCCAAAACTCCCAGAAGTGCCAGATTCCTGTGAAACATTAGTTCAAGTAAGCTTCATTAAAAAAAACAAACTAGAAGTTAATACTGTTGCTACCAATATTGTTCTACTGCTAAAGTACTGTGAAAAAGTATTTTCTTTTCCCTTCCTGTTTTTTTTATTTGCATATTTGTTACACTTAAATGATTCAGGTCATTAAGCAAATTTTAATATTACACAAAGATAACTTGATTAAATACAAAATACAGTTTTTAAATACTGATTTCATATATTACAGGAAAAAAGCTGTCCATACCTGCCTGGCCCTGTGTGAAATAGTAATTGCCCCTAAACCTAACAACTGGTTGTGCCACCATTGGTGGCAACAGCTGCAATCAAGCATTTGCAATAACTGGCAATGAATCTTTCACATCACTATGGAGGAATTTTGGCCCACTCTTTGCAGAATTGTTTTAATTCAGCCACATTGGTGGATTTCCAAGCATGGATGGCATGTTTAAAATCTTGCCACAATATCGCAATTGAATTTAAAATGTTACTAAACCCAGGACCTTGCATTCACTATATCTGGTCTCTCACAGTACACAGAACATGGAAGTGCAATTATTTTAGTAAATATAAACTGCTAAATACCTTTTCTCATCAGTAGTATATAGTAGTCTTGTGACTTTAATCAGTCTCCAGCCAAGCATATGTTAAAGCTTGTAGGAGAAGTTTTCATTCTGAGGATACAGAACCCTTAACCTCTGTCTGGACAGTGCTGATTGGCCCTGTGCTGATCACATGCACCCTCCCAAGAAAAAAAATAAGGCCAGGCAGGTTTGGAAAGCTTTTTCATCATTTAAAAACTGCATTTTTTTATTTACTCATTATCTTTGTGTAATATTAAAATATGTTTGATAATCTGAATCATTTAAGCGTGACAGATGTGCAAAAAAAATAAAAATCCGGAACAGGATAAATACTTTTTCACTTTTGTATATAAGGTTTTGATAAAAAAATTTGGAGGCAGGGTCTATTTAACCTTATTTATTACATTACTTTTGAAACATTTTGGCTTTATTGGCCCCTTTCACACGAGCGGACCGATCAGGTTTGCCTGTCGATTTTTCAAGCGGACCTGATCGGACGTGCCATTGCTCTGTGGAGCGGTGGGTGTAAACTGACATGTGATGAGGCAAATATCCATTAAAGGTAAATTAACCCAGCCCAGCTTTAGGAAGAAATTTTATTGTAAATTCTGCACCAACTATGTAGAAAAAAGGTAATAGGCATACTGTGTATGCAGTGCTTCTGTATAGTAGTTCAATCACACCTCGTTTATAAGCTGACACTGCTGGATTTCTGGGGGCTGCTGGCAAAAGAGTAGCACCTTATGGAAGTGAAGGGCTGCAGTCCCCCTCCTCACTCTATGCCAACTGAGAGAAAGCCTTGGGTCTTTTTTTTCACAGAATACAGATGTTCTGTGATTGGAGGGTGAGAAATCATATGCATCCCAACCCATCCTCTCTCATCCTCCAATCAGAGAACTCCTATAAGTCTAAGCGGGGGGTGTCTCTCTTTCATTGTTGTGGAGGGACTGACCCTTCCATTGAAATCATTGGGTATGAAATAAATGACTACTTTGTAACTCTGCTGATCACATGTGGATGTGTAGGCAAGGGTGTATTAACACAGAATACAGCGGGTAAAAATAGGTATTGAACACATCACCGTTTTTCTCAGTCAATATATTTCTAGATGTGCTATTGACATGAAATTTTCACCACGTCAGTGGATATTCCAGGTAGGCAAATGTAGATAAACTTTAGGAGCAATTGTGATGTTTCACTTTCTTTCTTATAGCAAAAGGCAAAGGCTAAACACATTTAAAATACATCCAACTAAGGGTTGTGCAACAAACAAGCATTCTCACGGCATTCACTGTTCTGTGAGTGGCTTGTGAGGTTTGTGAGATTTCACAGGATGCTCTGGCAGAAGATCAGCTTGTGTGTATTATATATATGACTTTCAGCAATTTATTCACTCATTTCCTCATTTCAGCATGGCCCCAAGTTAGCTCTTTATGTCTTTGAGCTTTTGCACAATCATAAAGACAGTTTAACCAAAGAGGATGAAGCTGCTGGAGTCTTATTGATGAATGCTATAAAGCAAGCTGGTTACAGATGTATCCCTCCAAGTGCGCCACTAAAATCAGACCTTGTGAAAGCTGCTAAGGAGGTATGTTTGTGCATTTTTGTATGTGGTGTGATTAAATACTATTGTTATTTCTGTCTGTTTACATAAAATAACTGTTGTAATAGGTCCACATTTCTGGGAATCCTATTCTGAGGAAAGCCAGAATAACTCCTTAACAACAAGTGAATACCTGGTTGTTAAAGAGCCGAAACCTGATGGTATCCATAACAACGACCTGTTCACCAAATTTTAACACAACATATATATAAAATATGCTATGTGGGGTTTTTTTTTGTTTTTCTTTTTATAACACAGCACATTTTACAATCCCTGCATTGTGAAAGCAGCCTCATTGTAGATATAAAGGAGATTGTAAAATCTGATATACAGGGTATAGTCTACTTTATTCCATTGCTGCTGAGTGGTTTAACAGCATGTGTAGGTACTGAAATCAATGTACTGCTAGCAAGATGACTGCCAACAAGAAGCTGAGTCTTGTAATAGTGAGATATAGGATGTCCTTTTAACCTTGGACTTGACCTGTCAGAAGTACTGAGTAGCAGAAGAGGTATTCAGAATTGTACATTGTACCAGGATATTGCTTTGTACACGTATCTTCTTATGCAGACCTTTTTTTCCCCTTGACTTAATGACTGTTAATAGTAAGATTGTTGGCAATTAATTATTTTGACATTAACTGTACTTAAGCAATTTTCAGAAGCTAGCATCCATATATAGAAGGACCCCCAGTTTTCTCTAGACAATGGTACTTACACCCCTGTCTAATGATCTCAATTACCTTTGCAAGTCTAATGAATACTCCATGACATGGCAATATACAGCAACAGTGTCAGTAAAAATACCCTTTGTCATTAAAAGAGAAGTGTGGGAATTAGTTTTTTTAAAGAAAAATCATACTTACCCAGGTGGATGAAGCATCGGTCCCCTGCCAGCTCAAAGGGTGAGAACTGAGCGATCAAATGACCACTGATCTGAGTTCTCACAGCCGCTATGAGCTGTCTGCTCTGTCTCCCCCACCCTGCATTCACTAGAGCGCTGGGCTGTGGAGGGAGCAGCTTAGTCAGGTTCTCAGCGACATGCTGAGAGGCTGAGCAGGTGCCGCTCCAAACTCTGGGCTGGATCCTGACTTTAAAGTTGGGATCTTTCCCCAGCCTGGACCGGCTGAGTGACGTCATTGCTGCAGGTAAACTGTATGGAATGTTCCTGTGTGTAGAGGTTAGAGACTTTGCTTTAGCATGTCTGAGCTGCCTGTCAGATGACTGGCGGAGGAATATTCAGAAAGCAGCAGGGAAGGCAAAAGAAAAAACAGATCAACAGAGTGAATGAAATAGAAACAGATGCATGCAGTGCAATTCCTCAGGTACGTATGTGTCTTTCCAACAAGCAGCGCGTACTGACATCACCAAATAACATTGCAAATTTTGTAAGACTAACGGTCACAGAGAGCCTCTCACACATCAGATATACAGCTATGAGATTAGGTAATACCATTTTTTTCTTTCAGTTGTTCATTGTATCTAGTTAACAGTTTTATCTAGCTCTTGACTACTTCTCTATGGTCATTAACAAGAAGTTTCCATTAGAGCATTTAATGTAGCAACACAAAGACATCTGCAATGCACATTTTCACTAATATTGCATATTTAAGAGAAGTAGGGCCAAAGCTCTTTTGGCCTACTTTTCGTGGAGGGTGATAGCACAGCACTTTGTTCTGCACTCGTGTGACCCGTTTGCAGGTGACAGCACGCACAAACCTGGTGTCAACTGATGTCATAGAGCCGATCCAGACTCTGAGCCAAGTGCTCCCGCCCCATCCAGAGCCCGGTGCTCCAGTGAGCGCTGGAGGGGCAGAGTAATGCTGCTCAGTAAAGATTGAGAACTGTGTGATCAACAGTCTTTGATTGCTCAGGTCTTGGTCTTAGAAGTGGCAGGGGACAGATGCAGGACCAGACCAATGCTGCATCTACCTTGGGTGAGTATAGATTTTTTTTTTTCCCCCTGAACTTCTCTCTTTAACAAAACGTATTGTAGTTTACAACTGTCAAGTTTAATCTAAGTACTCATAATAATTTCCTTTCCATAAAAGAAAACCAAAATAGTAAAACATTTTTACAATTTTTTTTATCTAATATTTAATGGGTTGAAGAGATCAGCTGGTCAAGTGGTTCTTACACCTTTAGGGTTCTGATATATATTTATGTACAGTATATATCCACATGTTTCACATTACATGTATTTTGTTCTCAAGGGGGTACAAACCTACAATGTCCTATGTATAAAAATGCAGCAAATCTGTAGGCCCATGAAAAACAATCTGCAGCATTCTTCTCGTTTATTAAAGAATACAGTGATCATTATTTAGAGACAATTGGATTATGCACACATCTGCAGGAGGAATCGAACACTGGCAAACAAAAAGCTGTTGGCCAGCCTGGTATAACGCTTCCCACGCCCATCACACCTCGGGTTTTTGCTAATGTCCTAGAAAGTTAGGAGTCTCTTCTCTACTGAGAAAAGTTTAACTATTTTTTGTTTTTTCTTAAGATCCTTTTTTATTTCAACCAAGACTTCATCTGCATGCTGATGAGCTCAACTATTTTTTCAGCTATCCTGATCATTGTTTCCTCAGCAGTTGCTTTGAAGGCTGTACTCAGACCCTGCTGGACGAAAGTTTGTTAAGCTAGCCTGTGAAACGTGATCTTTGGGCACTGGGCTCTGCACTTGGAATGTTCCAGTCCCGTGTCTAATGTGCTAGCTGCAGAATGATCTCCAGGTCCAGACCTGTGGCACAGCTTCTGGTCTGATCCAGTCTCTGAAGTCCTACTTTGTGAATATGCCATTGTGGGTTAAACTGGAATGTGTCCTTCGGGCTCTATTATTTATTTTTTTTACTAGTCTCCTATGTACTGTCAGCTGCCGAGTGCTCTCCAGGCCTCAGACTTTGGTAAGTCTTTGTGGACTTGTTTACCATGTATCTGAGCATTGGTAATGTTAAGCGCCACCATTACCCCTTGTTCTGTCAGTTTTCATGGAAAGAGTGCACTGGGAAATGGAACACTGAGTCACTAGCTGCAATGCTGCATACACGCACTCCACATTCTGTTCCTGCCTTTTAACATGAGGTAGTTTTTTTTTCCACCATTGCTGCCATTTGTAAGGTATCCTGTTTTTTTGCCATGGTTACTCCTTGCTGCTGTTTACAGCTGCAGAACCTCCTCTGCACTGAGAAGCTGGTTTATGAGTACCTAAGGTTTTTTTCTTTTTTTGGTGCTTTAAATTAAGTTGCCTGATTCTAGCAGTGTAACATGTTGGATCCGAAACGCAAGGAAGGCAGCCTGTATGTTTTGGCTCCAGCTCATGGTCCACTAACCGTTCTTTGTTTTTTTTTTTTAATTTAAATATTTATTAATTTTTCATGTTATTACAAAAATTCTATAAGAAGAGACACAATACATATAAATAATCCATACATTTCTACTTTGTCCTTCCTATTTACCTCTTTTCTTTCCCTTCCCTCCCTCCCCTCTGCAAGATCTTCAATTTCTCAAGGCCCAATAACTTTAAATAACTTCCTAGTTTAGAGTTTTCTATATTTCTCTTTCAATCCTGATTTTTTCCATCGCGAGTAGTATAATTTCAACCTGTCTTCCTGAATATAATAAGATTTTTCCATTCTTCTAATCTGGTTTACCCTATTGATCCAATCCTCCTCCGTCGGCACCTCTGTCTTCCACCAAAACTTGGGAATCAACCCTTTTGCAGCACTTAAGTAGTACCATACTCCTGATTCTTTGTATTTATTAACTGTTGTCTCAACATTATGTAGGAGACACATGGTTGGGTCTAATCTTATGTTATTTCCAGTTATTATTTCTATTAAATTGACTATTGTCTTCCAGAAAACCTGAATTTTTGGACATTGCCACCAAATATGAAACACCGTGCCCTCCTCCCCCACATCCTCTCCAACACATTTTTGAATTCTCCCCCCCCCTCATCCTGTGCTCAGTGCTCGGTGTAATATGCCATCGTGTCAAACATTTATAATTAATCTGAACGTCTCTCATACTAACACTCTCGTGAACTAATCTAAATATCTTATTCTGTTGGTCTTCATCTATCTCCACCTCCATATCTCTTTCCCAATTTGTTATAAAAATTAACTTTGTGTCTGTGTCTAATTCTGTGAGTATTCTATTACATTTTTGTGACACCGTGTTTCCCATCTCGACGTGTTTCTAATAGCCTTTCAAACATATTCCACTCCTTTTTTAATCTCAAGGGTTTTGGGAGAGTTCCAATAAAACATTTTAATTGTTGATATTTCCACTCATCTATTTTAGTAAACATAGCTCCTCCCCTCTCTTTTAATTCATTAAATGTTCTCAATTCCCCCTCTACCAATACGTCTCTCAATTGGATATCTTCCTTTTTAAACCATCTCCCTGATATCTCATCTTTTCCTGGAGGGAAGAACTCCGTGTTTGCAAGAGGCATTAATATAGAATTGAATTCCCATTTCATTTGTTTATGTAAATTATCCCATATCCTTAACAAACATTTAAAGTGTAAGTGCTTGTGCTTTCTTTAATTCTTCTATAATGTGCTGGAACCCATATCATCTTACTCAAATTAATTCCACTCAGTTCATTTTCTATTTTTACCCAACTTTTCCCCTTATAGTTAAAAGTCCAATCATAAATTCTTGCTAAAATTACAGCTTTGTAATATCTCTTGACATCAGGTAGTCCCATCCCCCCTTTCTCTTTAGTCCTACTTAGTGTTTCATATGATATTTCTTGGTTTTTTATTCCTCCATATATATCTTGTTAACATTCTTCTCATTATCTTAAAAAACGCCTCTGGGAGTTTGATTGGGATCATTTGAAATCTATAGAGTATTTTAGGTATAATTACCATTTTAATTAGGTTTATACGTCCTAACCATGATGGGTTTCCTCCTTCTAATCTTTTTAGTTCGTCCTTAGTCTCATTTATCAGGGAAATATAGTTTAATCTATACAGTTGTTTATATGAGGTAGCAAGTTGTATTCCTAGGTATTTTATATCTTTTTCTCTCCAGATAAAGGGGAATTCTTTTTGTAGCTTTTCTTTTTCGCTCTTTGGTATATTAATGTTCAGTATCTCTGTTTTTGTTGGGTTAATTTTTAGATTTGATAGTTCACCGTATTCCTTCAGGATCTTCATTATACTTGGTAGTGTTATTCTGGGGTTGCCTACATAAAACAGTAGGTCGTCCGCAAAGGCCGCTACTTTATGTTCTATGTTTTCTATCTGTATTCCCTTTACCGCTCCACTATTCCTTATTATTGATAGCAGGGGTTCCAATGTCAAAACATACAGCAAGGGGGACAAGGACATCCTTGTCTTGTTCCATTGGACATTCCCGTGGATTCCGACCTCTCCCCATTTTACCGTGATTGATTGCGGTGGGGATCCCTATATAATTTACTATCCATCACGCATTCTCTCTCCCCATCCCCAACACTTCCAAGTTTTTCCATCATAAGCCCCAGTCCACTCTATCCAACGCCTTTTCGGCATCAATTGGACAAGAGCACCACCGGGGCTTTCCCTTTTCTACTTTTCTGAATAATTTTGCATCAAAGTTTCTCAACCCATTGTCTCTACCCTCTCTCCCAGGGACAAAGCCCACCTGGTCTCCATGGATCCATTCGGGCATTAGATCTTTCAGCCTGTTTGCTAGGACCTTTGCGTACAACTTGGTATCAAGTGTTTAATAATGAAATTGGTCTGTAGCTAGAGCACTGAGAAGGATCTTTTCCCTCCTTGTGATTGAGAATGACATGGGCCTGAAGGGATTCCCTCTTCCCCTCCATCCCCACCGCCCAAGTCATTCATATATTTCTTTAACTTTGTCTAACCGTTCTTTGTTTATCCTGCAAGGTACCGTCTTAGGGGCCTGATTCTGACAGCCTTGGGTCATTGTCCCCTACTTTAATACCTCACCCTCCTTAGAGTTTCCCTTAGCTTCATCAGGTTTGCCCCCTCCTCTGCCTTATGCAGGGTGTTTCTCTAAAGCTATGCTAGATTTCATGGACAAAAAATGGGAGCAATGACTGCTGACTTGAAACTCAGCGGTCATAAACTTACTTCTTCATTTTGCCCTACAGAACATTTTTTTCTGACCCTACCTGCATCCACAAGACTTCTGTTGTTGGATGCACTGTCAGATGAAAGAGTCTCAAAAATCCAGTTTGGACAAGTTTATTCTGAGGAGCTGAAATCAGCTGATATAACTCCCAAGCTTGAAGGTACCATATTGATTCTTATTGACCTGATTTTGAGCCAGCTTAAAACTTGAACAGCCTGCGGCTGGTAGTAGTACTGTTACTACTGAAGACACACTAGTGTTTAAGGATCCCATTGACATACAAACTGGAAGCCCTTTCCAAATACGCTGCTATGGAGACAGGCTAGTTGATCTTATCTGTCTTATTTCCCTTCTATAACTGTGTGGAAAACTCTTTGGCCAAAATGTTGTTCTGGGGAAAAGCAATGTGAAAAGTGTTTGCTGTGTATGCCTTTTGATGGTGAATGGCTCTTTGCTACATCTTTATACAACTTCCTAAAGAGGCATTACTGGTGGTAAATGTATCGTAAAAAGTATAGTTCTCCAGCAGAAGAAGCCTAGGCCTCAGTCTAGGAAGGAAGAATCCTCCTGCCTCTAAAGCCAATAAGAATCGCATTCAATTTTCCTAAGCTTTACACTCCAAGACCAAACACAAGCCAGGGGCCCAGTTCAATGGCAAATTTTTGGCCTACCTATCCCCCAAACATGCTGACAGATGCTCTTTGTAAATAAGGGATGCCCCACTTTTTGCAAAGTTGGGGAACATCTGTTGGCCTTTGCAGACCTCTGGTCAGAAAACATCCCAGATGCATGGGTGAAAGATATGGTGTCCAGGGGCTATATGCTAAGCTTCACTCTCTACCTCCTCTCCTCTCTGCTTCATGTCTTGCACCCTGACTGTGTCTTTGCACAGGCTAGTAACCCTCCATGCTGCTCTGACATACCTTTTGAACCAAGAAGTTATTGCCATAGTTACAACTGTGGAAAATGTTTGTGTTTTTACTCAAATCTTTTCACCCAAACCAAAGGGTGGCATTCGACCCATCTTGGATCTGAAGGCTAAAAAATATCTTCACTCAAATCCCAAAATGGTTGCATCGAATATACCAGATCTGTCTTATTTTTCTTTCTTGTTGCCATGGACATCAAGTATGCTTACCCACATGTCCCTGTTTTTCCAGAACACCAACATTTTGCTGTGGGCACACAACATAACCAGTTTGTAGCGCTTCCATTTGGTCTGTCCTCTGCACCCTGAGTATTTACTAAGGTACTGGCACTTGGGCAAGGCTTGCTGCGCTTTGAGGGTCTTCCTGTTGTGGACATTTCCTATTGAGGGAACAGTCGGCAGAGACTCTACCTAACACGGTGATACTGACAGTTGAGACCTTGAAAAAAAAAGTTCAGTTGCATCCTGAGCCCTCCGAAATCTGGAACCAACACGTCAATTGGGATATTTGGGTCTCATCCTGGTTACAATGCTTAAGCCAGAGTTTTTCTTCCCCATTAAAAGCTTAAAAACATTCTGTCTTTTGTGGGACAATAGTTCAATCTGCAGACAAACTCTCTCCCCCTGACACCGATAAACAGTTTATCCTTGGCCTAGAATCCTGCTCTGGAGATGGGGTAGTCCTTTCTCCCCAGTAGAAGAACCTAACAGCCTAGCTTCTAGCCTGAAAGGACTGATAACTAAAAACCATACTGTGGGTGAAATATATCATCTAGAGAGTCACATCTGTGTCTAATTGACCTTCTCTGGTGTCAACAAAGCTTGCTGTGATTCAAGCAAAGAAGTGCAGCAGAAATGATTACATGTTTCATTATTTGGTTGTTTGATACTGGGAAACAAAATTATGGGTGTCAGATTAGTGTGGTTAAAAGCTAAAGCTGCAAAACTGAAGTTGCAAAAGGAAACCAAATGCACAAAGCATAAATTGAGTTTCTGATACCAATGTGTCTTTCTATTTAGCTAATCTCTATGACAAGTGTTTTTTCTTGTGCCTTGTTTTCAGGAGCAAGAAAAATATGAAAATGAAGAGAGAGCAAATAAATCAGCTTGGAAAAAAACTATTTTGAATAATCAGCAAAAGTAAGATACAATATAGCAATATATATTTTTAGAGTGATTTTCTTTTCCCCAAAAAATGTAGGAGCTAGCACCAATTCAATATGTATGTACAGTGTGCATTTATGTATGTACATGCATATCCTCTCAGGGTCTCGTGTATCAACAAATCGGTGATCTCTTCAGCAGTGGCAAATGTTCCAAGTCACACTGGTAAAGCTACCCTGCAACCTGCACAGCAGCTGGAATGTAGGTTTGGCATGGAGTTAAAGAGCTGCTGCTATAATGCTTTACATCCTACCCTACTATATATAGGGTAGGCAAGTACACATTCAACACACCTGTCTAATATTTCAGTTGTGCCCCCCTGCCTTCTAGACTCACAACCATGTCCTGTAAATCTTCAAGAAATTGGACTTTTCTACTGCTTGTGATTAGGATCTTACAATAAGAAAACAGTTTGGAAAGTGCTTTAGGAACATGATGATTGAAATGAAAGGTGATCATGATGATGTTTTGCATTCAAAAATCTACCAGCCACAAAGATAACAGAAGTACAGCATGTGTCCTAAATTCTATTATTGTAACTAGAGAACAATTTGGATATCATAGCATTTTAGTTTGAAGCTATATAATGGCCATTGTTATTATTGAAGTTATTTAAAGCAAAAGTACTAATAGACTATATATAACATAGTGTAGGGCAGCACAGTGGCTAAATGGTTAGCACTTCCGCCTGGCAGTACTAGGGTCATTGGTTCGAATCCCAACCACGGCACCACCTGCCTGGAGTTTGCTTGTTCTCCCCTGTGCCTGCGTGGGTTTCCTCCAGGTACTCCGGTTTCCTCCCACACTCCAAAGACATGCTGGTAGGTGAATTGTATCCTGTCTAAATTGGCCCTAGTATGTGTATGTATGAATGTGAGTTAGGGACCTTAGATTGTATGCCCCTTGAGGGTTAGGGGACTGATGTGAATGTACAATATATATGTAAAGCGCTGCATAAATTGACGGCGCTATATAAGTACCTGAAATAAATAAATACTGTAGATGTGTTATATAGCAGAATAACACATAGCTGTATGACAAATTTAAAAAGTGTTATTTATTCATTAGGTACACAGTAGACCTCTAGTATCAGATTATTTGATTTTGGCATGGAGATGATGGCGCAGGTTTTTCAGCCCTGCTTTGGTGCACTGTAAATAGGTACAAAGCTTCTGATGTTTTGTTATACTATTATTTTTTAAGCCTTTTATTTACAATATCTTAAAAATTACAAAATATATAGACCACAATTTTTAATAAGTCAATAGAAAACTACATAAAATTACACAGCACACTGTACCCCTCCACCACTTCTTTCCCTCAACCCCTTTTCCTAATATCAAACATAACACAACTCTTTCTCTATACCGCTATACTGTACTTCCCCTATAAAAGAAAATCAAAAACCATTAGTATCACACAACACCCAAAACCCCTCATATATACATAACCCCCCCCCACACCTCCCAGAAACAAATCCCTCCCTCCACCCATTGTTTCATACATCCTTCCTGAAAAGGCAAAACGTACCACACTCACCTTCCCACCTCCCTGTATACATAATTATTCAAAAACATTCCCTCCCACCACCCTCCACATTACAACAATAGAGCCCAAAAAAGATCCCACCCTCCAGACACAACATTAAAGCACTCTATTTACACACATCAAATTTCCATATTTTGTTGGCATTTTCATAACCTATTTTCTTTATATCTCCATATGCATAGAGCCTCCCACCGATCATGGCCACACAATCCTTTACTGTCATCTCTTCTTTCCTGAAGAATATTTCTTGCATCCCACAAACTTTCTTTTACACAATTCACCATTATCCATAACACCCTCCACTCACCCTTACAAATATTACACAATCCAAACATCACCTCAAAAGTCATTCTCTCTACCCCAGTGTAATCTTTAATCATTTTAGCCAAGCTCTACCATACTTTATTTGCATAACCACACCCCCAAAACAAATGATCCACATTCTCCACTCTTCTACACCCTTCCCTCGGACATACTTCACTATCAACCAGACTCCTCCTTCTTTGAAACTCTATCGTTGGTACGCATTTATGCACTGCCATCCAAGCCACATCCATTTATTAAATGCACTCCCCCATGCTTTTTTTACTTTGTGACTCATTCTAACCTCCCACCACGTCCAACCCTTCCCTTCCCTCCAATATACTCATCACTTTTTTTTTACTATCACACCCAGGGCCGTATTTATTGATTGTTGGACCTTGGGTAAACATTTTCTTGGGCCTAAACCCCCTGTTCCCTCAACCCCCCATTCTCTCAACCTCCCGTTCCCTCATGCATTTTTGCAGCTATAGCTAGACTAGCAGCTAGACTCAAAATCAGTTTACTGCTGCAGATCAGGCAGCAATTGCGATTGGTTGCCAGAGGTTACAGCATATCATTTCCACTCAATGATTTGTTGCTAGAGCTTACAACACATAATTTATTGATTGTGTGCTAGAGGTTACTGCACATCGTTACCACTCACCCATTGGTGGGTGGGGGGGGGGGGGGGGTAGATTGTGACCAGTGGCAATGATGCTGGGGGGGGGGGGTAAATGGGATAAGTGGTAGTACTGGGGGGGAGCAATGGGATCAGTGGCAGTGCTTGGGGAGTGGGGTAGATGGCTTCAGTGGCCGTGCTTGGGGGGATGGGACGAGTGGCAGTCCTGCGGGAGGGGAAGGATGGGATGAGTGGCAGTGCTGGTGGGAAATGGGATGAGTGGCAGTGCTGGTGGAGGGATGGGATCAGTAGCAGTGCTTGGGGAAGATGGTATCAGTGGCAGTGCTTGAGGTGAATGAGCTCTGTGGCAGTGCTGGATGGGATCAGTGAAACGCACACAGCAGTGAGTACACCCCTCACATTTTTGTAACTATTTTATATCTTTTCATGTGACTACACTGAAGAAATTACACTTTGCTACAATGTAAAGTAGTGATTGGACAGCTTGTATAACAGCTTGAATCCTACCACTTCTGAAAATTTTCCACCTTGCCCTGGGCATTCTTCAATCTGGCCGGAGGAGGACAGGGACTTGGGACTCCAAACTTCCTGTTTAAAGACAGACTGGTCCATCTCCTCTTCCTCACTCTGTGGACTTACCACCTTTTCATCCTCATCCATGCCAACCTCCTCCTCTCCCTCCGCGACCAGTTTTTTAGGGGCACAATGCTGTGTAAGAGAAATAGCCCCCTCCTCCCTGGCCACATCATTGGGAGGATCCGGAGAGGGTACATGGAGGTCCTTTTCTGCAACAGGTACCTGAGTATTCTCAGTGGGTTTCATGCCCTTCACCACATCATCAAAGGAGTTGAACCACCTTCCTTTCTCACATCTACAGCCTCTGCCCCTTGGGGAATTTCAGGTCACCCCCTTGCCCAGGTGCCTTTCGCTGCCACCGATGTGGCATTTCCTGCCCACAGGACACTCGGCCATGACATGCCCTGCTTGGTAGAAATTCCGACATACCTGCCCATTGGTACAATCCTCCTTGATGCGACCAAAGGAAAGAGGACAAACAAAACAAAGGCTGACCAGGATACCAAAGGTAGCCCTGGTTTCTTCAGATAGAAAATGTCAGGAGGGGTGAACACACGCACACACACACTCACTCACTCACTCCATGCCAGTCAGGCTTAATTTTTTATTATTATTGTACAGGATTTATATAGCGCCAACAGTTTGCACAGCGCTTTACAAAATTAAGGTAGACATTTCAGTTACAATACAATTTGGTACAAAAAGGAAACAGAGGGCCATGCTCTTTAGAGCTTACAATCTAGGAGGAAGGGTTGAGTGATACAAAAGGTAATAGCTGTGGGGGGGAGATGATCTGATGGAGGAAATAAATGGCGGTGTACTAGGTAGCAGCAGGATAGACTTCTTTAAAGAGGTTTTCAGGGATCGTCTAAAGGTGGATAGATTAGGAGACAGCCAGACAGATTGGGGTAGAGAATTCCATAGGATGAGAGAAGCTCAGTTGATATTTTGAGACCAGGTTGGTGATGTAGATGGGGGCAGAGTTGTGGATGGCTTTGTAAGTTGTTAGTATTTTGAATTTTTTTATTTGTTGAGCGAGTGGAAGCCAGTGGAGGGATTGGCAGAGAGGGGTAGCAGACACTGAACAGTTGGTAAGGTGGATGAGCCTGGCAGCAGTATTCATGAAGGACTGGAGGGGGGATAGCCTATGTAAAGGTAAGCCAATGAGGAGGGAGTTGCAGTAGTCGAGTCGAGAGATTACCAGGGAGTGAATTAGAAACTTTGTGGTATCATTGGTTAAAAAGGGGCGTATTCTGGAGATGTTGCGGAGGTTGAGGCGGCATGATTTTGACAGGGATTGGATGTGGCCTGAAAGGATAGTTCATAATCCAGGGTTAGACCTAGCACCTTGACATGCAGGGATGGGTTGATAGTCGTGCTATTGATCCTGACTCAGAAATCAGGGGAAGAGGCACATGGGGGAGGAAATATCATGAGCTCAGTTTTGGATAGATTGATTTTTAGGAAGTAGAGTGACATCCAGTCTGATATGTCTGTTAGTAAATCAGTGATACGTGTGGAAACTGATGGGGTAAGCTGAGGAGTAGAGAGATAGCTTTCCATGGTTTCCAATACCAATTCAATGCTGATGACACACAAAATCTATCAGCTGACCCAAGGAAGAAGTTTAGATCGAGAATAGGAGGGGTCCAAGGACAGAAACTTGGGGGACCCCGACAGAGGAGTAGGAGAGGAGGACGTAGAGTTGTAAGTAACGCTGAAGGTGCGGTGAGATAGGTAAGATTCAAACCAAGGGAGAGTATAGTCACAGAGACCAAGTAAATAGAGTTTTTTTTGAGGAGGAGGGGGTGGTCAACTGTGTCAAAGGTAGCAGAGAGATCCAAGAGCAAGAGTACGGAATAGTGGCCATTGGTTTTAGCGGTTAGTAAGTCGTTTGTGAGTTTTAGGAGAGCAGTTTCTGTGGAGAGTTGTTTTGAGGCACCTGGTATTGTCTGTTTGCCAGGGCTGTAGCAGTCGGGGCCTAATTCTGTGTGTAGTGAGGGGGGGGCTATTGTGTCCAGGGTGGATGACAGTGAACTATTGACAGAAGTTGCAAGGTTGGGGCAGGACAGGGCTGAGATTTTGTCATGGAGACAATCTGTTACTGAAAAAAGAAGAGGGGTTAACATAATGAAGGTTTCTACGGGTAACTGTTTGGTAATTGGATGGCAAGGAGGAGGAAGCCAAGGAGAGAGAGTGGAGCTAATAAGGGAGCGATCAGAGAGAGGAAGAGGAAAGTTGGTGAGGTGCATAGGTAGGAGAATACAAGGTTGAGGCAGTTACCATTCGAGTGAGTAGAAGCATGTGTCCATTGTTTTAGGGCAAAAGAAGTGGCTAGGCTCAGAAGTTTAGAAGTAGCAGGAGTGTTAAGATTAACGGGGATGTTGAAGTCACCAAGAATGATAGTGGGAATTTCGGAAGAAAGAAAGTAAGGCAGCCAGACAGAGAAGTCATCAAGGAAACTTAATACCGGTCCAGGAGGACGATAGATCACAGCAATTCTTAACGAAACTGGAGAGAACAGACGAATACAGTGAACTTCAAATGAGGAGAGGAAGGTGAATGGAGGACCTGAAAAGTGCTTTGAGGGGATAGGAGGATTCCTACTCCACCTCCTTTCTGTCCACTAGGCCTGGGAGAGTGAGTCCAGAGGAGACCACCATAGGAGAGGCAGTCAGATGCATGAAGCCAGGTTTCTGTAATTGCAAGCAAGTAAAAGGAGTTTGTGATAAAAAGGTCATGGACAGAGGTGAGTTTGTTACAGACAGAGCAGGCATTCCAGAGGGCACAGGAAAAAGGGAGGTTGGTTCTAGGAAGAAGAGGACACAACTGTGAGAAGGAGGAGTAAGGAGTGCATGTTACAGAATGGTGAACTGAAGAAGATGACTGGGTAATAGCTGAAAGAGATGGATGGTGAAACAGGTCACCTGTAGTCTGATTAGTATTTGAAGTTGTCTGCTGTTGTTTCTCGCTTTGTGCATTCGCTGAAGTGCAGAGCCGAAGTGCAATACTTAATCCATGATTAACACTTTATGATAGTTGCCAATGCTACCCCAAGCTGTGCTGCCCTTGGCTGTACATTTGCACCCAAAACTCCCTATGGCTATTAAAGGTGTCCAACACATTTGTGAGCTTTGTGCCGTTAACACAGTCACAATACCTCAGTAGGAAAGCCTGGATTTCCTCATCCTCAACAAAGGGGTGGTACATATGAACGGTAATGTATATACGCTGCTTGAATTCGCTGCATAAAAATTCAGTTCCCTCCAACAGGTGATCACCCTCCTTCTCATGTTTCCGCATCTTTACAGTCTGAACATTCTCCTTGTGCCAGAAGTTCACATCATATCCAGAGCTAAGGAAGCATTGAACACAAAAAATGTCATGCCTAACAGGTACTCAGTAATGCCCTTCTGGATTTTATATAGGCCCAACTCGCCATGCTTAGGCTCAGCCACACAGCCTAAGTGTGTTTGGAGCTTCAGGAGCATGCACCACCATTCCATCGCCAAAAAGCACCGCGGCACACTCAAAGAAATGGCTGGGTAGGGGGATCGCTTTTGTGAACCGCCCCGCCCAATAGCAGCATGGGGTGCACCCGAAGGAAACACCCAAGACTGAGCGAGACTGGTGCCTTCATATAACTTGTAATAATACAAGATCTTTGCCAAAAGGCCCAGAAGCAATTTCATTATTTTTTTTAGTAGCATGGCTGTGGGTAATTCATCTGTGTCATGATATAGTATATATTACTGTGATAGTAACCTGTTCATCTTAGCTTCACAGTTAGTGTTAGGGATTAGGTTTAGGTTAAGGCTTCTGTTTAAGTCTTAAATCTAGTTATTTTTTTATGGGTTAGTGTCCGGTCAAAGGCTAGGGTCAGCAAAAATTAGTTTTAATTGTTATTTTGGCCTTCTTCCTCTTTTGTGGACCTTCCAAGAATCATGTGAATTTGCATCAGACAAAACATCCTTGGCATGTAGCAGGAAAATCTTTTTTTTCATGGAGTACCTAAATTAAAATATTTGCACTGAGTAGGCAGAATCTCCACTAACACCCCGGTCACATCAAAGCCGATTTTGAAATTGTGCGACCTACAGTGAAGTCGCACGATTTCAAAGTCGGGTGACTTGCCGATTTAAGGTGCGATTTTCAAGACATTTGACACAGATGTCTATGCAAATCGCACCAAAGTAGTGCATGCGCTACTTTAGAAATCGGTGCCACTCCAACCAAGTCGGAACCACACCGATATGACAGCTCTAATAGCGGACAATGTGGTATGACTTGGCATACGATTTGCAAGTTGCATGGCATGCAAATCGCATGCCAATTCGCACCCGATGTGACTGGGGTGTTATTGTGAATTATAACTATTTTGAGATTAAATATGCAAATTATCTTTATGATTATTGTATTGACATTAGCTTCAGATAATATTTTCTTGTTTAGATTGTAAATTTAGATGTGCAGTTTTTTTAAGGCAGTGTATTCTGTGTGTGTTTTGTTTTTTATAAGGCATCACATTCTTTGGTTCTGGAGTTCTGATTGAATAATCATTTTGAAGACCTCCATTATCTTTGTATGACAGGCTTTTTCAGCGCTTGGAAACAAAACTGAAGGAGATTTCCAAAATTGCTGGTGATGTAACACAAAACGTGTCTTTGTCACAAGGAATGGAGCGAAAGAATGTTATACAGCATATTCGCAATATGTACAAAATGGATTTAAGTGCAAGCAGACATTGGCAGGAACTTGTTCAGCAGCTAACTCATGACAGGTTAGTACTTAATCACTCGCAATTAAACACCAAGGTGCTTTTTTTCTTCTAAGTTTAGAGGTCATAAATACTCGTGCATATAAGTATTAGAAATTGAGGAGTAAGATAAACTATAGAATGTTACCTCACATTTGCCTGCAGCATATAAACTACTTGTACAGTGTGGTCAGCATACTTTCAACATATATTTAACCGCATGCCGCCCAGCCACTGTACATATACGGCGGCAGGGCGGCACTCACAGGTAAAACCACGTTTTAAAACGTGTGTTTTGTAAACAAATAGGGGGCGTGCCGCCGCCCTATTTGTCCCACGGATCACCGCCGCAGATGTCAGTCGCCGGGTCACAGCCGCTCCTTAGCTCGGCGGCAAACAGTGACAGAGCACAGCTGATCACCGCCATTATTAGTATAAAAATACCCCTAAAAATCCCAGTATCTTTCCCGCCATTTGTAAACGCTATAACTTTCACGTAAACCAATTAATTTACACGTATTTTTTTTTTTTTTAGCAAAGACATGTCGCAGAATGCATTTTGGCAGAAATTTATGACTAAATTTGATTTTTGCATTTTTTTTTTTTACTGGACATGTTTTATAGCAAAAAGTCCAAAATATTGTTTTTTTTTTTTCCTCAAAATTGTCAGCCTTTTTTTTTTATAGCGCAAAAAATAAAAACCGCACAGGCGATCAAATACCACCGAAAGAAAGCTCAATTTGTGGGGAAAAAAAGGATGTAAATTTCATTTATGTACCATATTGCATGACCGCGCAATTGTCCGTTAAACTAGCGCAGCACTGTATAGCAGAAAAATGGCGTAAATTGCAGTATTTATACCATAGTTTGTAGACGCTATAACTTCCACACAAAGCAATCAATATACACTTATTGGGATTTTTTTTTACCAAAAACATGTAGCAAAATACATTTTGGCCTAAATTTATAACCAACTTTGAGTTTACTATGTATTTTTTTATAGCTGAAAATAAAAAATATAGTTTTTCTTCAAAATTTTTGGCCTTTTTTTGTTTATAGCGTGAAAAATAAAAAGCGCACAGGTGATCAAATTACACCAAAAGAAAGCTCTATTTGTGTGAAAAAAAGGACGTAAATTTCGTTTGGGTACAGCATTGCATGACCGCGCAATTATCAGTTGAATTAGTGCAGCGCCGAGTAGCAAAAAGAGACCTGGTCAGGAAGGGGGGTAAATCCTCAGGAGCTCAAGTGGTTAAAGTAAATCTGTAATTTAAAATAAAGCTGGACCTGCAAAGAAGGCGAATATCTATTTCTTTCCTGCTGTCAATATTGAATGCCACTGTGAGGAAAATACATTGACCTTTAAAATTTGTCAGAAACCAACATTTTCTGGAGTGTTGTGTTGACAAGAAACCAAGTCAGTTGACTTCCCAAAGCTCCCTGCATGCTCAAATATTCTGCAGCCTGGACTCCACTATCACTACTGGGTACATTTCTACCTCCAGATGCACTGTCCAGTGTTTTGTAGGCCACTTAAGATCAAGCTGCAGTACCTGTCACCCAGCAAAAAGCATCTTACTTTGCTCTCTCTCTCTCTTCCCCCCCCCCCATGGGGTTTGCCTTTTCCAGGGGTTCAGATTTAAAATATCTAAAGGGTGCTAAACTCTTGCCTAAACTATTCAGGAGCTTAATTCTTGCAGATTTAAGGGGTATTATACCCAAAAGCAATTATTTATTGTATTGCAGCTTACCAATTCTTAGATTGGACGACTATATTAGTTTTCTTTTTTTAGACTTTCTCTCTTTTATTTTTACCTGGTGATCTAGCCTGGCAGCCTGTTTTTCACCAGAACTAGCTGTCCTGCAGATGTAGCAGTTAGAGGGTTGAGACAAACAATTTAACACTGATAGGGGTGACAACGAGCAGCTTTTATTTATTTATATCCAAACAATAGTGAAGGCACAAGTAATCACTTTTAAAATACACCACCCAAGGTGAATGGTTCAGTTACATTGGTGGAGTCTATCCAAGGATAATTGACAGCATTTACTTAATGTAACAGATGAAGTCCATCCAGAGGTAACTATTAACATAACTGAATAAAACTGATGAAGTCCATCCAGGGTTAATGTAGAAATGAATGTCCATCCACTAATGGCAGAGAGATCTCAAAACAGCAGTTTGGAAAAGGAACCCTTCCAATCTGAGAGACCTGGAACAGTTGGGGAAAGAAGAGCGGTCCAAAATTCCAGAAGAGAGGTGTAAGAAACTCAAAGGAAGCGATTGATCTTCGTTATTTTTTCCAAGGGGTATGATTCCAAATATTGAATTGAGGGTGCCAGTAATTTTTTCCAGTCCATTTTTGGGGTTTTGTGTGGAATGTGTCAGATTTGTGTTTTTGATTCTCCACTTTTTGTGTCATAGCAATACAAACAAAAGAATTAAACATGAGAATGCCTAAAAATATGTAATTGCAACAATTTTCTGGGCAAAGTGGTGCATTATCTGACAGAAATGCAGTGGTGCCAATATTTTTGGCCATGACTGTACATCTAAAGCCAGCCATAGACCATTTGAATCTTGGTCAGTTCAGTAGGTCCCAGCCGAGATTCGAACCATGTATGGGCAGACTGAATGTACTCAAGGCAATCAATCAAAAAAGGAAAAAAAATAAAAAGTAAAACTAATGCAGCCACCACATCTGTTGACTGGTAAGCTGTAATATAGCAAATTTTTGGTTTTGGGTTTAATACTGCTGTCAGTTCACTTTCAGCCCTTATAGCCAGCAGATTTGGAAACAATTTTCATGTAGGTCTATGATGCACTTTGTGAGTTCCCCCAATTCTGTGTACATGTTACAAAATGTTATATGCCTATATTTGGGAAATGACTTTTTCCTGGATGGACGTAGCCTGATGTGGACCTAGGACATTGTTCCCCTTCAGGTCTACTTTACTTTTGATTGTCAGCAGTGGCCAGATTTGAAAGCTGCTATTGGACGGAATAGCAGCTGTGGATCCGCCCACTGCCATGTGCAGTTATTCAAAAGTAAACAGACCTGATGGCGAAGTAGTCTCCCAATTCCCCCATTAGGTTCCACCCACCCCAATATAAAACTCTTCATCCATGCTCTTGTCAGTGTGACAGACGCAATGTGTCGGGGAGGGCAGGAGTGAGTGAACTGAGGGAAAAAGTGTGCCGTATGGACGCTCCTTCCTCATTGCAGACACAAACAGAGTCATGAACTTGTCTATTCCACATATTTTGGAACCTAATCACTAAGATGTTCATGCTCTTATAGTGTAGATTTTGGTCTCTAAGGGGTTAACCCAGGGCTTAAAATTTCAAGTCCTGAGCTACTAGCCAGGCCTTAGAGTTACTCGCCACCAACAAACACTCACAAACAGTGACACTTGTACCCACACACACAGACATGTACGCGCACACACATACAGACACATGTATACACACACAGGCACGTACAGACACACATACACACCGATACATGTACATACACAGAAATACACACGCACACACACATGCACGTACATACGTACGTACATACATACATACACAGACACATGTACGTACATGCGCGCGCACACACGTGTACACACACATACATGTACATACATGCAGACACGTACAGATACACACAGATACATGTACAATTGTACATGCATACACAGACACACACAAACACACACCTCAAAAAGTTGCAGTACTTCGTTGTTCACTCACAGATCTGGGTACTGCACTCTAGGGGGAGGCAGAGAACACAGAACACACTCCTTGCTTTGCTTTCACTGCGCTCCGCTATTGAGCAGTCTGACAGCTCCCACTATCAGTGACAGATCCGGCCTGAGCTCCAAGCCTGCTCAGCAACTCGGTCCTGGGGGACACACTCGACCCCACCATAATTTGCACTCGCCATTGGCGAGCAGGCGAGTGGAAATTTCAAGCCCTGGGTTAACTGATACTCTAGATTCTGATCTCTGAGGAGTTAACATTTACTTTGCAGATTAGACCGTTTAGGACAAAATCATCTACTGTGGAGACTGTAAAGAGTTAATGGTCATACACTTGAAATTCCTTATTTCCAAAAAGTCTTTAAATATTAAATCAAAACTATTCTCTGCAAGTGATACATACCACATTTGATCCACCTTCAGGAAAAAAATGCTATGCTATGCTATGCTCTACATAGCAGAGCAATACAAAGCAGCGTGCTTACAAAGTAAAACACACACAGGCCACAATGTAAAACAGCACACAGTTAACCCTTTGATTGCTCTAGATGTTAACCCCTTCTTGACCAGTTTCAGTGCTTTTTATTAGCACTGATCACAGTATTGTCACTAGGGATGTCAGTGGCAGTTAGTTCCCCCCCAGTGTCAGCATGCCCACAGCAGTCCCGCTATAAGTCACTGATCGCCGCCATTACTAGTATTAAAAAGGAAAAAAATCCAGTATATATACCGCAATTTGTAGACGCTATAACTTTCACATAAAACAATTAATTTACATGTATTGGGGTTTCTTTTTTTTAGCAAAGACATGTAGCAGAAAACATTTTGACCTAAATTTATGACGAAATTAGATTTTTTACATTTTTTTTTTACTGACTATCTTTTTTTTTGTTTATAGTGCAAAAAATAAAAACTGCACAGGCGATCAAATACCACCACTGTCTATTACCCTGCTTTGCCTAGGTATTTGCAGAAAAGGAGTTCACGTTAAGTGGTTCAAAGAGGCCAAATAGCCAGTGTACTGTCTGCAGTCATAGTTGCTATGTAGGAAATACAGCAGGGAACCTACAGTATATAGTGTGTACTGATAGATGGGCCCCCTGATTCCAGATGCGAATGACCCATCTGGCAAGAATTTCCACACCCTCTGACACACCAAGGATAAAGAAAGAGGTTTCATTTTGGGAAATACTCCCCATAAAGCAACAGCAGCAAACATTGGTAGATAACCATTTTGCATAATGCCACAAACAATGAGAGGACCTCTTTAAGTGTCTTTTTTTTTTTTTTTCTTGATCCTGAGTCTAGGGCATTCTTAACTAAAGGGATGGTCCTGGAATCTAAAAGGTCCTATAGTTGTTCAAAACCCCTCCCACTGGTCAGTGTACTATTAAACATTGGGGCCCAAAGTTCCTCTTTACTCTTCCAACTCACTGTGACTGGAAAAAAGAAGAGCAACTTGGGTGTGGGCAGCTGTAGCATTAGAGTGACAGCCCGGTCTGCATGGCAGTGGTCAATAGCACCACAGACCCAGGGCTACACTTATTATTGGTGTTTATATTGCCTAAATGGCCATTCTGTTTGCTTTCCTAAAGATGGTCAAAAGGATGCATGCTGCTGCTGTTCCAGCTGGAAGCATCCACCCCATCCCCACTGATGATACTTTGGAGCTCCAACCAGGGTATCCACAATCTGCAGTCACAACCTACTGGTTCCACAGCCTGATCTGGTAGTTTTTTTTTTCCCTAAATTTGAGCTTCAGAATGAAGCAAGCCACCAACGGAGTAAAAATGTTGCTTTAGTAAGCAGCCACAGAACTGCTTTCTGACATTTCAGACTGTATGTGTGTTTTATTACGTGCAAACGACGTACTAAATGTGAAAGTATAAATGCTCACATTATAAAATAAATCTGAGAGGAACTAAAAGCATCCAGTAAGCAAATTCCAGTTATGATGCCACCAGGCAGTGTGAAAGTATTTTATAAACTTATCATATAGACCGCTCTCTTCAATACATTAGAAAATGTGTATGTGATGATAAATAAAAGTGCTTTAGTGCTACATAAATAAATAGTCTATATGCAAGAACATAAATAAATCAATTGAAAATAAACAATTCATATTAAACAAACATTCAGTGCTCTTCCTCTCTTCCCAAAAGAAAAGCACACCGCACTCACCAGAAATACATAAAATACGCTGGTGATGTCCCTGATGACATTAGACGTTGCCGACGAAATACGTTGGGCGGGCTTTCTCCAAGACGTCACGTCCATTCGGTGGAGTGTAAACCAGCACTTTCGGTTTTCATTTTTGAGATACTACATGCTCAATTGTTCTATACTAATATAAGTGTGATTTTAAGCAACTTTTTATTTGGATAATACTACGCTATGAGAGGTCCCTCCTATCTCTTTCCCTCTATGAGAGAGATTTATAAAAAAAAAAGTCTCTTAAAGACAGATTTCTTTCCAACATATGATGACATCTAATTGTCCATATGTATGGGGGATTATCGTATGATCAGAGTCTTACATCCATTTGAGATATCACAAGCGTATTTGACCTTCTTTGTGAAAAGAGGTCATATATTTCTGGTGAGTGCGGTGCTTTCTTTTGTGAAGATAAAGTACGAACAAAACCTATCCCTCTATAGCGTGTGCTTGTCTTAATTAAGAACATGAAAGTGTCATTTCTGTCTGCTGCTTTATTCCTTTGCTATTTGCATGAATCACTTCTGCCAAGTTTTCCTGACACCAAGAGAAAAAAAGATGACAGTGGAGTGACCTCCAGCACACAGCCTGTGATTGACAGCCTCAACTCTGTTCCTGTATGCTGTGTGGGAGGGGGTGTGTCCCTTCACTCCAATCAGCTCTCAGAGTTTACCTCATTGAGCTCTGCAGTGTTTAATTTCATGTCTACACCCCGTTTATTGAAAACTCAGACAAGCTGTAAAAATTCTGGACTTTGAACAGATGTAGAGACTAGAAGACTTCAGATACACAGGTACAACTTATGTTGGAGGATTTGTTTGATTTTTGTGTATCAACTGAGGCCAGTAACTTCACTGGGTATACATAAGGGTTTGCAAGCACTTTACTGAACCAGTGTTTTGTTACTTCAATAAAATAGGATGGAACTACCTGAAAAACGGACAGGTGGACTCCATCAGTCCGCTCGTGTGAAAGGGGCCTAAGGGTTGACTTGAAACAGAGAAATGGTTTTAAAGTTATAGTAACTTGGCAATGTGTGATGGAAAATAGTGGAGCTCTGCTGCTACTAGGCCAGCCTGGTGACACTATATAAAATACAGGTATAATGGGGACGTATCTGACCAAAAAATTAATTTTATTCCATCAGTGATATCCTATATTAACCTCCTGACTGACACTTTGCATTGACAAGATGACAGTACTCTCTAGTACCTGAGCGTAAAAATTCTGTATTTTTTCAGCCATTAGCACCTTTTTTTTTTTTTTTTTATAATTAAAGCAGTTGTAAATGCATGATTTCTTTTATAAATCATAATTTTTAAGATAAACATGTTATGCATACCTGTTCTGTGTAATAATATTGCCCTCCTCAGGGATGCACGATTTAGACCGCCTGACGCCTGAGACATGCACTTTCAGGCGCCGGGCAGGTTTTTTTTATTTATTTATTTTTTTTTTACATTTAACCCTGCTGCTGGCAAGCTGCCTCTCTAGCCTGGGTTCACCTGTGTGTACTGAAATCGCCATTGCCATGGTTTCTGTAAGATTTCAGTACAGGTGCTATTTTGTCAGCTCTCTGTCACTCTCCACAACTGCCTCCCACTGAGTTGACTGCTAAATCATGTCCCATTGACTTGACTGCTAAATCATGTCCCATTGACTTGAATGCAAAACCGCCTCCCATTGGCTTGAATGCAAAAACCGCCTCCCACTGGCTTGAATGCAAAAACCGCCTCCCACTGGCTTGAATGCAAAAACCGCCTCCCACTTACTTGAATGCAAAAACACCTCCCACTGACTTGAATGCAAAAAACACCTCCCACTTGCTACAGTGCAAAAACTCCTGTGAATTGCAGTCCTATGTAAAGACTTATCTTCACATGCCACTCTATCAATTGCGAATCTGGAATGCACCACTACAAACTCACACAGGACCCTTTTTTGTAATGCGATCCACACGCATTGCGTTTTGAGTGCCATCTGTGTGAACCACCTCAATAGGAACACATAATATGTAATATAACAGCACACTGTTAGAAGTTTAAGTCCCCTATTTATTAGGACAAATAGATTTTCATGAGGGACAAGTAGCTTGGGACCCCCAATTTGGTCCTTTGGACAAGTAGTTTTTAAAAAAAACCCCTGCTCCTCCTCTTCTGGGCACCCCTGCCAGTGCGGTCTGCTCCTTTTCTGTGTCTGCCCCCATAGCAGTCCGCTTGCTTTGGGGGCAGATGTGTGGACACACCCCCGAGCCAGGATTTGTTCCTCCATAAACACTCAGCGTGATTCCTACTGCTGTCAATCAAAAAGATTTGATTGACAGCAGTAGGAATCCCTATTTTCTCTTCAGAGAAGCCTATCCTGCCTCCACTTAACAACTGTACTCCTATTTTCTCCATCCGCTCATCCCCCACAGTTATTACCTTTTATATCACTTGACCCTCCCTTTTAGACTGTAAGCTCTAACGAGCAGGGCCCTCTGATTCCTCCTGTATTGTAACTGTTCTGTCTGCCCTCATGTTGTAAAGTGCTGCGCTATGTAAGTCCTATTTAATAATAAGGCAAGTGAGTACACTTATATTATTCTGGATGTCTGTAGGAAAGATGTATAACTTCAACTTTTAGGTGAGGGATAAACTGTATGATTTTTTTTTTCTTTTGTTCCTATTTTATTAAGGGCTGTGTGGTGTGACCCAGAATCCTACCCTACCTCTTATCAGCTTGATCCCACTGAGGGTCCAAACAGGGAGAGACGACGCTTACAAAGGTGTTACCTAACCATTCCAAACAAATACATCCTCAAAGACAGACAAAAAAAAGATGGTAAGTTATTTATTATTAATATTTTTAAATTAATTTCATCCTGCCCTTAGCTAATAATGGAATCTTCTACTCTTCCAACCAGTCCGTTCCCTACAGTTACTACCTTTTGCACCACTAGCCCCTCCCTCCTAGATGAAGCTCCGAGAAGCAGAGCCCTCCTAACCCTCTTGTAGTGAACTGTATTGTTGCTGTATTGTCTCCTGTTATATTGTAAAGCGCTGAGCAAACTGTTGGCGCTATATAAATCCTGTATAATAATAATAATCTGTATTAAACTGTGTATAGGTGGAATATACTGTATATTTTTTAGCAGCTGTTATAATGAATAGGGTTAAATTCCACACCTTCAGGTGACTGGACACTGCAAAACCAACCAGAGCTTGAACATTCTGTCATATAACCGAACCCACCTTGCCAGCCCCAGTGTTTTGTTAGTTGCTCAGATGTTGGATGACCACATAATGGTATTTTTAGTGTTTTGAAATCTTCTATGAAGAAAGCACATTAGTTAAACCGAGCCACTATGGCAGAGGGTGTGAGCTTTTTCAAACCGGTAATCCCCCTGGGCTTAGTGCTGCTGGTACTTTATACGGACTCCGCACAAAGGGAGGAGTAGGGATGGCTTGTAATGCTGCAACTGCACTGGTCATGATGGGTTGACACCTAGGTACATGGTTCAGCATGTGCATTGATGCTTGTTGCTCTACAAGTCCAATATTGTGGTCTCCTGCAGGGAAGCCAGTCCTTGAGGATCCTCCCTTGATCAGGGGAGGGGGGTGGGAATGTGCCAGACTGGAATAGGTAAAGTTTTCTGAGTGAACCTTTGACTGGGGTGAGTTGGGTGCCGATTCATTTAACAGGGTTATGCCATCTTGGTACTCCTCCATCCCTGTGTATTGCTGTGCAGATTCAGAATCTGTTGTGCTGTGGGGCGCTTGTGTGGGTGCAATTTTGTGTCTATTTGCTAACAGGACAGACATGTAAAGCAGGCTTTCTTATTGGTCTCATCTACCACAGCAGACCAGTCTGCTTAGAAGGAAAATTGCATCATTTTAAAAAAAATGCTACGAAGAAGGCATGAGCATGCAGTCCTTTAGAAACCTTCACAGCCTTCTGCTTCGGATTAGTCCAATTGACCCAAATTGGAGGAGAAGGATGTACCACTAGATCAGGCCTTGAAATTTCCACTCACCTGCTTGCCAATGGCGAGTGGAAATTATGGTGGGGCGAGTGTGTCCCCAGGGCCATCTTGCTGAGCAGACTCGGAACTCAGGGCCAGATCTGTCACTGGCACTGGGAGCCGTCAGACTGCTCAATAGCTGACCGCATTGAAAGCAAAGGAAGGAGTGTGTGCTGTACTCTCTGCCTCCCCCTAGCGTGCAGTACCTGGCTCTGTGAGTGAACAGCGAAGTACTGCAACTTTTTATAGGGCTGTGTGTGTGTGTGTTGTGTGTGTGTGTGTGTGTGTGTGTGTGTGTACACATGTGTGTATACATGTGTGTGTATCTGTACATGTGTCTGTGTGTGTGTGTGTGTGTGTGTGTACGTACATGTGTCTGTGTGTACATACATGTGTGTGTGTGTGTATGTACGTACATGTGTCTGTGTGTACATACATGTGTGTGTGTTTGTGTGTGTACGTACATGTGTGTATCTGTACATGTGTCTGTGTGTGTGTGTGTGTACATGTGTGTCTGTGTGTGTGTGTACATGTGTGTCTGTCTGTGTGTGTACGTACATGTGTGTGTGTGTGTACGTACATGTGTGTGTGTGTGTACGTGTACATGTGTCTGTGTGTGTGTACGTACATGTGTCTGTGTGTGTGTACGTACATGTGTCTGTGTGTGTGTACGTACATGTGTCTGTGTGTATGTACATGTGTCTGTATGTGCGTGTGTGTACATGTGTCTCTGTGCGTGTGTGTAAATGTTTCTGTGTGTTTGTACAGATGTCTGTATGTACATGTGTCTGTATGTAAACCTACTGTACTTGTATAGGTGGTTTGGTCAGGTTCAGGATTATGTGGTTATTATGGGTGGTAGAGTATGGGGCAATTGAGGTACTGCTGAGTTGGATAGTAGGTAGGATATGCTTGGTAGATTTATGGTTTTGTGAGTGAAAGATTATGGGGGGTTATGGTTGTAACTCTTAAGGGCTGGCTAGTAGCTCAGGTCTTGAAATTTTAAGCCCTGCGCTAGATGATTCTTCTTCTGGCTCCCTCCTTGGAAGGTATCATTAAAATTAAGATACCATTGCAGTGCTAGTGGAGGAGGTTTACAAATGTCTCAGATTCCTCTGCCCCTGCCGTCCCTAAGGCGACGGGTATGGGGTGAAGGAAACATAAGCAACCCCCACTACATTCCCTGTACATGCTTTAGTCAGTATCCCATTTACAAAGAAAAAATTAAGAAATTATTTGATTCAGGGGTTTGAATTGGCTAGATCTTGCCTCAGTAAGACACTCACAGTTCTTGTTAATGTCCCAACTTGTTGACTTTGCAGATGAACGTTTTGAAGCTCTGTAAGGCTTCTTCACCTTATTTGGTGCAAATCCTCATCTTATTGTAATGGTAATGGCAGTGTGTCGGACTCTAGCTAAGCTGGTCATACACTAGTAGATTTTCGAACAAAATTTCACACAAAAATTTGCATAAACATTTGTATGAAAATTCTCAATTAATTTGATGACTTGATGAATGTTGTTCAAAAGTACATGGAAAGTTTGTTTACCATTACAATTCAATTTTGAAATGAATGGACTTTCCTGAACGAAACCACATTCACTGTTAGAAATTTTTTTGAGAAAACTGTTTGATTTTTCTCATCACTGCTGTCAAAAATGAATGTCAGTTTGACCCCACTAACAATTTTAAAATATACTGTACATTCTTAAAATGAAAAATTTGTACAAAATTTCACTAGCTTAAGGCCTCTTGCACAAGGATGTAAAAAATGCCATATTTTTCTACTGATTTGAACACAGGTGCATTGTTGTCTATGAAACAATGCACACAGCTGTGTAAAGTTCAGTAATACAGCACGGACTACAGAGCCATAAAATTAAAATAGAGGTTAATTGGCTTCTATCTAAATTGGCCCTAGTATATGTATGTATGAATGTGAGTTAGGGACCTTAGATTGTAAGCTCCTTGAAGGTAGGGACTAATGTGAATGTGTAATATACAGTCAGGTCCATAAATATTGGGACATCAACACAATTCTAACATTTTTGGCTCTTTACACCACCACAATGGATTTGAAATGAAATGAACAAGATGTGCTTTAACTGCAGACTGTCAGCTTTAATTTGAGGGTATTTACATCCAAATCAGGTGAACAATGTAGGAATTACAACAGTTTGCATATGTGCCTCCCACTTGTTAAGGGACCAAAAGTAATGGGACAATTGGCTTCTCAGCTGTTCTATGGCCAGGTGTGTGTTATTCCCTCACTATCCCAATTACAATGAGCAGATAAAAGATCCAGAGTTAATTTCAAGTGTGCTATTTGCATTTGGAATCTGTTGCTGTCAACTCTCAAGATGAGATCCAAAGAGCTGTCACTATCAGTAAAGCAAACCATCATTAGGCTGAAAAAAACAAAACAAACCCATCAGAGAGATAGCAAAAACATTATGCGTGGCCAAAACAACTGTTTGGAACATTCTTAAAAAGAAGGAACGCACCGTTGAGCTCAGCAACACCAAAAGACCCGAAAGACCACGGAAAACAACTGTGGTGGATGACCGAAGAATTCTTTCCCTGGTGAAGAAAACACCCTTCACAACAGTTGGGCCAGATCAAGAACTCTCTCCAGGAGGTAGGTGTATGTGTGTCAAAGTCAACAATCAAGAGACGACTTCACCAGAGTGAATACAGAGGGTTCACCACAAGATGTAAACCATTGGTGAGCCTCAAAAACAGGAAGGCCAGATTAGAGTTTGCCAAACGACATCTAAAAAATCCTTCACAGTTCTGGAACAACATCCTATGGACAGATGAGACCAAGATCAACTTGTACCAGAGTGATGGGAAGAGAAGAGTATGGAGAAGGAAAGGAACTGCTCATGATTCTAAGCATACCACCTCATCAGTGAAGCATGGTGGTGGTAGTGTTATGGCGTGGGCATGTATGGCTGCCAATGGAACTGGTTCTCTTGTGTTGATGATGTGACTGCTAACAAAAGCAGCAGGATGAATTCTGAAGTGTTTCGGGCAATATTATCTGCTCATATTCAGCCAAATGCTTCAGAACTCATTGGACGCCGCTTCACTGTTCAGATGGACAATGACCCAAAGCATACTGCAAAAGCAACAAAAGAGTTTTTTAAGGGAAAGAAGTGGAATGTTATGCAATGGCCAAGTCAATCACCTGACCTGAATCCGATTGAGCATGCATTTCACTTGCTGAAGACAAAACTGAAGGGAAAATGCCCCAAGAACAAGCAGGAACTGAAGACAGTTGCAGTAGAGGCCTGACAGAGCATCACCAGGGATGAAACCCAGCGTCTGGTGATGTCTATGCGTTCCAGACTTCAGGCTGTAATTGACTGCAAAGGATTTGCAACCAAGTATTAAAAAGTGAAAGTTTGATTTATTATTTTTCTGTCCCATTACTTTTGGTCCCTTAACAAGTGGGAGGCACATATGCAAACTGTTGTAATTCCTACACCGTTCACCTGATTTGGATGTAAGTACCCTCAAATTAAAGCTGACAGTCTGCAGTTAAAGCACATCTTGTTCATTTCATTTCAAATCCATTGTGGTGGTGTGTATAGAGCCAAAAATGTTAGAATTGTGTCAATGTCCCAATATTTATGGACCTGACTGTATATGTAAAGCACTGCATAAATTGACAGTGCTATATAAGTACCTGTAATAAATAAATATAAAATTTTACGTTTGAGTGCAGGAATTTACACTCATAAGTGTATACGTGTGTGTATATTGCAACACTGGCAACTAGAAGAGGATGAAGAAGAAATTTGTGCATGCACACATTTTACGTGCCTATACGAGTATATCTACAAAGTCAGAATCTTTCTGTCAACAAGATCCTGAGTATAAACATCAGTAAATTATTACATCCGTGTGTAAGAGGCCTAAGAGTCTGGTTTGGGTGGATAGCTAGAAGCCTTTGAGGCATTGCTGCCAGCTCCTCAGATATAAGCTGCCTTGGGCTACTCTGTGGATGGCATGGGTGATTATTCTCTATCAATTCTCTCACACTGTGCTTATGTCTGTTTAAATATGGAGAATTCTTTGGTTGAAATGCTAGTTGTCTGGGCCTGCCTGTGAGAAAAGATTTGAAGGGATGCCTTTTGAGGGTGAATTCCTCTTTGAGGAGGCTTTGGACACATAAATCAAGTACCCTTTTGCCAAGCAAAAATTAAATAAGGGTCTCTACAGGCAAATTGGACACTATGGGGCAGAAAAAAAATCATACTTTTGTTTTCCTCAGACTTCCACCGCTACGGCCAAACAGGGATGTCAGACCCATTGTAGACCTCGTATCCCAATGTCTTTTAAAAGATCATGAAGTTCTGAATGGAATTCACAAAAGCAGTCATAGCTGCTCTCCATCTAGGAGAAGTCACGGTTTTTATCCGTGTAAAGGATGCATACCTACCTATTCTTCCCTCCACACCAGTGTTTTTATGGTTTAAGGTGGTGCATTTTGCTTTGCAGCCCTTCCCTACAGACTGACCACAGCTATTCAGACTTTTATGATGTTCCTGGCTCCAGTGTGTGGCCCTGCTGAGTTCAAATGGGATTTGCATCCTAGTCTACCTCGATGACCTCCTGTTCAGGGGTGGGGGGGTCACCTTTAGTTTTGAAGAAGAACCTCCAAAAGACGTTACATGTTCTCAAGAAGTTTGGTTTCTTAGCCTCCAGAAGTCAGTTCAGGAACCATCTCCGCATCTGCAATAACTGGTGGTGTCCTGGACATTGGCCAGAACAAGGCGTTTTTTGTTTGGTTTTTTTTTTTTTTGCTTTTTTTTCATGGGGGAACTTGGATGAGATTGTTCCCCACCACAGAAAGAGGTCATTTATGATTACAGATCACTGGTTCATTCTACCAACAGTATAGAGAATCTTACACTACAAATCTACATTTAGTAAAATATCTGTGGTGAATAATACAATTTGTAATGCAAACTGATAAAAAAAATAGTTTTCTTGTAGTGTGGATACCCTTTTTAACACTGAACTTCGTGCACCTGTCATTCGACAAACAGGGAGGGTGCCATTGTTTTGCTCTGCTGGAGATTTTAGCTTCCTGGCTGTCATGCTCTTTCTTTTTACCGATAACCAAGTATGCCAATAAATATTTAAGACCTTTCTATGACTTTCCTAAACGGCATACTTGTTCTGGGTAAGTGACTAAATATGAACGTACCGTACATAACACATCATGTAGGCATGCAGTTTGTCGGATTTTGTTAATTATTTTTCTTTAATTTTACAGAAATTGTTAAGCCACCTTTATCCTACATTTTTGAAGAAAAAACACATTCCTCATTATCTTCAACTGTAAAAGAGAAAGCTGCCAGTGAACTAATAAGGTAACTCTTATATACTGATTTATATAACTCAATCACTCACCAACAACTCACTTTCTTTCGCTTTCTCTTACTTTAGCAAACCATACTGAAGGGTATATTCACACCAGGTGCATGCAGTACTTTTTTTCTAGTGCAGCACAGTCACCACATGCCACCTGATTTTATGAAATGTCACTGTGTGAGCTTTCAGTAAAGTTTTTGTTTGCAAAAAAAAAATGTTAACAATGTGATGCCCTGCAATCAGCACTGCCTTCACTGCAATGCACACCAGCCATTGGGATGTAACATGGCGGCTTATGTGAATGTACCCTCAAAACCTAGGTGCAGTGTAAGGATCAGGGGCTCAACAGTGAAGGATTTTATTTTTCTTTCACACTTTGTTATGGCTTTCAAATTTACATAGATCATTCTCAAACATAAATGCAGTGCCACTCCTTCTGTTCCTTCTTATCTGCTATTTGGACCACTGAAAACTGTGGCACCTTGGGTACACATAAAAAAAAAAAAAACGATTCCCATTTGCACAATTGCCCCTTTGGCACTATCTGTTTGATGTGAGTAATATTCAGGAAATGAAAAGTTCCCCTGGTTTTGCATTATGGAAAAAGCAGTAGGTGTAAGTCTCTCTGGCTTAGGAACAATTTGTTCAATGGTTCAAAAGTACTTTACATAAATATGTCTTGTCCTGTTATATGTTGTTGTTCAAGTAGTGAAGAAAATGAAAACTTTTGCTCAAGCATTGTTAAAGCTTGATTGCAGACAGGAGTTTCTGATGATTCAGAAATGAACATTCACACTCGTGGCCTATCCTCCCCCTTTGCAGGCTTGTCTATTAATTTGTGCATGAAATTCATGCGTATGAGACTGCATCAGGTTATGTATACTGTAGGTTGAGAGGAAAGAGAATGAAACTTAACTTTCCAAGCTGTTGTATTCCATGCAAAGTTCATCCCTGTATTTTGATGTGATCATGTTTTAGAGTCAATGATCTCACCTCAGATATGGTAATGTCATCATATCTGCCTGCAGTATTGGATGAAGGAGCATAGTTTTAGGTATTACTTGCTGTAGCTATAATTGCAAACAAAGATTAGAGGGGCCTGTTGATGATGAGAGCATATTTGTGCTTTTACTTACTGGGTTATAGTGATTCAGCAGTTACCAGTACACCAGATTGTTTTTTTTTTTTTTTCATGTACAGCTTAAACAACAATGTTTATTCCTGGTAATGTATTGGAATATATTTGATTCCAGGGTCAATCGAAGATGCATCAATGTAGCACCATCCAGAGAAACCCCTTGGAGAGCTCTTGTTAGGTGAGTTATTTAAAAATATTTAAGAGAATAAGAGAAAAAAAAAAGAAAATTGTGTCTGCAAGATAAAATCTATGAACATGCAGAACTGGTATCCCTGCTTGATAAACTTAACAGTCAAAATCATTAAAGGTGAAGGTATAGTGAGCCGCATGTTTTTGTATGTGAAAACAACACAACTCGCATGCATACCAATAGGGGCCCTCAAGCTAGATGGGGTCTTCTTGTTTCTAGACCTAAGATGTTTATACACACAGCTGGTAGTCAGATGAGGATGCAGTAGAACCCATCTCCCAATAATTGTTGCATTTTTGAGCAAAGCCTATATCCCATCTGGTCAATATCAACTCAGATGACTGAGTGTACATTTCCCTTGTACCTACTGTTGTTTTCTCCGATAATATCGCACAATATTACTTGCAGTAGTCCTGCAGATTAATGCACTTCGTTTTCTGTATACAGCGTTATCAGACAGATATTACAAATTAATCAGTAATAATCATATTACAAGGATCCCATGTTATCGGAGTAAAATGTGTCCATGCTTTACAGTGAAACTGTACTCTCTTTCATCAGTTAGCAGAGACCTTCAGATATGCTTAATGTAAATTCAACTTATTTTTATTATGAATTAGAATATTTTTGGTAGGGAATTGATTATTGTTTATCAGGATAAATGTGCTTGATTTGAGCTATATAATTATAAATACCAATATATCACCAGCACTCATAATTGTTTTTTCAACCAAATCATCTTATATGAACATCTACTTACCATGTCAGGCAAAAATGCAATGAGGAATGAAGTGAGAAGCTTTGGTTTTAGAACAAAGTGATGTAATTTTGCCTAATATAGGGACCCACTGTGAATCTGAAATGTTTCGCTTTTGTCTAAAATGCAAAGCAAATGCAAGTTTACTTGAACAAATTAGATGTGCTGGTGACATATTCATATTTTCTTGTTGCGCCATACAGCAGTTGCTTCAGCACCCTACATACAAAGGTAAATACCTATGTTGTATATACAATATCTTCATATTCTACGTTTCCTTACTTACTTTGCGCTATGGTCAACAGTCTTACTTTTTTTCTTTTATCAAGATGCTTTCGTAATCCAGTATTGGGCTCTATGCTTTTATCCCCAGATGACTTTACTCCATGTTGACCAATTTTTCCCTACTCCTTATGGAGTCCATAAATACATTTGACACACGTGAACTCATCTGACATTGTGAACAACATATAATCTGACCAACAGCTCAGATACAATCACATGCAGTATCTTTGCTGGAGGAATTGAAATTGGTTTGCTTTGAAAGCAGCTCAGCAAGGGTTTTCTTTAGGATTAGCCTGAAGAAAACAGTGCCTTTTAGCACATTTTTAAAATCAATAGTATCCCTAGAGCCCTACCCAGACACTATACATCATTTAAAGGCTTCGATGTTCTAAAATAGGAAATCTGAATCTTTGAGAAATTGAAGAATTCAGTTAACGTCAAGAGAAATTTATACAAAAGAGAAAAAGTGCCATGAATAGGGGTGTATCCACCCATCAATAAGCATTTCCCCGAATCACCATAATTGAGGTGTGGATTCTAAACCAAAAAGCTTATAGAATAATGTTAGCAGCTGACAAGAGCAGATCTGCCAAAAAAGACGGTATATAACGAATCCTATGCGGAGTAAATATTCACTATTATAGTGGATGCAATTATTTTATTGAGATCAATTAGATCATGAAAAGGTAGACATTGGAATCATGGGGAACACATTGTCAATCAAGAAAATAAAATCACGAAATTTTATTTTCATGATTGACAATGTGTTCATCCATGATTCCAATGTCTACCTTTTCATGATCTAATTGATCTCAATAAAATTGCATCCACTATAATAGCGAATATTTACTCTACATAGGATTCATTATATACCATCTTTTTTGGCAGATCTGCTCTTGTCAGCTGCTAACATTATTTTAACGTCAAGAGAAACATGTCTCAAATGAAGGCTAGTACTTTTAATAACCAAATTCTTGCAGACAAATCAAATTATTATTATTATTATTATTATTATTACTACGAGTTTATATAGCGCCAAAGGGTTTGCTCAGCGCTGTACAATAGGGGGGACAATACATGGCACAGTACAACAACAACAAACAACGTACGAGAGGGGTAAGAGGGCCCTACTCTTACGAGCTTACAATCTAGGAGGGAGGGGGTAAAGGTACAGTAGGAAGTGGCTGAGGGGGATGAAGTGGTGGGAGGAATGAGGGAGGATGGCCGTTAGGTGAGGGTGGGGTAGGCTTCCCTGAAGAGATGGGTTTTGAGGGAGCGCCTGAATGTGAATAGGGAAGGCGACAGTCTGATGGATTGGGGCAGTGAGTTCCAGAGGATGGGGGAGGACCTGGAGAAGTCCTGCAGTCGTGCATGGGAGGAGGAGACCAGGGAGCAGGATAGAAGGAGGTCCTGTGAGGAGCGAAGGGTACGGGTAGGGTGGTACTTGGTGATCAGGTTGGTGAGGTAGTCAGGGCAGTGTTGTGAACGGCTTTGTAGGTCAGGGTTAGGAGTTTAAATTTGATGCGTTGGGCAATCGGGAGCCAGTGGAGGGAGAGGCAGAGGGGGGTGGCAGAGGTGGAGCGGGTGGTGAGGTGGATGAGTCTGGCAGCTGAGTTCAGGATGGTCTGGAGCGGGGAGAGCCTGCACTTGGGTAGGCCAGTGAGGAGGGAGTTGCAGTAGTCAAGGCGTGAGATGATGAGGGAGTGTACTAGAAGTTTGGTGGTGTCTGGGGTGAGGAAGGAGCGTATCTTGGCAATGTTGCGAAGATGGAGCCTGCATGTGTTTGTGAGTGATTTGACATGCGGTTGGAGGGAGAGGTTCGCGTCAAGAATGACGCCAAGGACTTTGGCTTGCGGGGCGGGAGTGATAGTGGAGTTGTTGGTGATGATGGATAGGATGGGGGGGGGTGTTGGCAGGGGGAAAGATGAGGAGCTCGGTTTTGGAGAGGTTGAGCTTGAGGAAATGTAGTGACATCCAGTCTGAGATGTCATTTAGGAGGTGAGTGATGCGGGCGGAGATAGTGGGGGTGAGGTGAGAGGTGGAGAGGTAGATTTGGGTGTCGTCAGCATAGAGGTGATAGTTGAAGCCGTGAGATTGTATGAGTTTGCCCAGGGAGGAGGTGTAGATGGAGAAGAGAAGGGGTCCAAGGACAGAGCCTTGGGGGACCCCAACAGAGAGGGGGAGGGAGGGGGAGGTGGCACCATTGTAGGTGACACTGAAGGAGCGTCGGGATAGGTAGGATGAGAACCAAGAGAGAGCAGTATCTCCGATGCCAAGGGAGAGTAGTTTATTAAGGAGGAGGGGGTGGTCAACTGTGTCGAAGGCCGCAGAGAGGTCCAGGAGAAGGAGGACAGAGTAGTCGCCCTTGGCTTTGGCGTTGAGTAGGTCGTTAGTGATTTTGAGGAGGGCAGTTTCAGTGGAGTGTAGGGGACGGAAGCCGGACTGTAGACGGTCAAGGAGGTTATTGTCTGTAAGGTGGGCGCTTAGGCGATCGTAGACTATGCGTTCAAGGAGCTTGGAGGTGAGTGGCAGCAGAGAGATGGGTCTGAGGTTGTTGGGGTCCGCGGGATCCAGGGAGGGCTTTTTGAGGATGGGGGTGATATGCGCGTGCTTTAGGGGGGAGGGGAATACGCCAGTAGAGAGGGAGAGATTGAAGATGTGGGTGAGGGAGCGGATGATATGGCTGCTTTTATCATAATAATTCCTTCAGAATCTGAGCTTTAGTGAAGAATGAAGATAATCTTGGAATAAACAATGATCCTTAAGGTCAGCCACCAACCCTAGCAGTGGTTTTACAATGTACACCCTAGTTTAAAAAAATTGTTGAGGCCCACATGTAGGACATGGTAATGAATCTCACAATTTAAATGTATTTATGCTGCTAAAAAATAAGCTTATGTAATTTTATACTGTGGCTAACTGGACAAGACAATGAACAGATACCAGGAACCTATCTTTGATGACCCTGCTCTTTTAGAACATTTGCAGCTGATGCTTTCAACATTATTTTGTGTTGACGCTCTGTAGATGTAATTTGCCAAATCACTTGAATGTCCCTTACTGTGGATATGGCAGTGTTTTGTAGCTAAAAGCTTGGTCTGCTGAACCTGCTTGTAAGAATTTGGAGAATCCCTTGATAAATTCATCAAGGAAGTTACTGGTGGAAAGGTACTCCTACCCCACCAGGAAAAGTCTAAATCTCCTATGTCTACAGCTGCTTAGCGAAGAGAATATTTTTTTTTTTTGTCTCAAGGCATCAACCTTAAAGCCAGGGCTGAACACTACCTTTCATCCTAGGCCCTGGACTCCAAGATTACAAAGCAGCATTAAGGCTCGCCTCTGCATTCAAGGTATTCACAAAAGTGCTTGCCGTGCTTCTAGCTCCTCTGTGTACCCAGGGAATTCATGTCACAGCATACCAGGACTACCTCTTGCTGAAGAACTCCTCAGCCATAATTTTTGTCTTCCAACAGACAGAGACATTTCAAATACATCAAATTTTCCCACAGGTCAAAAAGACAACCCTCAGTTTATCTCTGTATGAGGGTTCTGTGTTTTATGATGGCATCCTTTGAGGCAGTTACCCTTTTCCTAATTTAATTCCAGACCTCTTCAATACAATATTCCCATGTCATGTAAGGAGCAGTATCAATCACTGAATTGTCCACTGCTTCTATCCAGCCAGACTAGAAGCTTCCTGATAGAGATGTGCATGACACAAAAATTTTGTTTCAGATTCATTCACTTAGTAAATCATTTTGTTTTGTCTTATTCATTATGTTCAAATAATTCATTTTTGGAATCCATTTCATATATTCCTTGTTCCAAATCGATTCGTATTTTTAGAAATCAGTTCAGAAAATTGGCTGTTTTTGTTTTAACATGTTCATTCGTTATTTCGAGAGATTACTTATGCACTCTGAGTAATCCCTGCTAGTTCAACCCACAAAGAGAAATTGAATGAGCTGATTAGATGAAATTGACTGGAGAAAGTAACTAATGGAATGAAATTAATTTCAGACTCATTTGTTATTTTATGATTCTTAGATGCTGGGGACTATGGATGCCAGTTTTAATGGCCTGGGTGAAGTTTAAAATTCCCCAAGTGTCCAGGGAATATGGTCCCCAGAGGAATCAAGACTTCTCCTCAGCATTCTGGAACTGAAAGCCACCAGATTAACTCTACATCACTGGTCCTCACTTCTGCTAGGTCACTGGTCAGAGTGTAGTTGGAAAATTCCACAGCAGTGGCCTACATGAACCATCAGATTTGCACTTGAAGTCAAGCTGCCTTAGGAAAAACAAATCTGATAATTGCTTTTGTGTAGAATCTCACATTCCAACTCTCTTAGCCGTACACATTTCTGAGTTTACAAGTAGCAGGCGGACTTCCTAAGCCGCCCAGGTGAATGTTTTCTGCACCCCAAGAGCTTCTAAAATTTGGAGAAAAAGTTGGAGAAAAGCAGATGTGGACATCTTGGCCTCAAAGTTCAACAACAGGTGTAAAGCCAGGACCAGGGATCCCTCACGTTAGATGCCTGGTGATTCCTTGGATTCAGTTCAAACCAGTTTAAGCCTTTCTTCCAATGAAGATCCTCCCTCAACTGCTATGGAAGATAAAGGAAAGAGGAGGGGATTCTCACTGCAGCAAGAAAGACGTTGTACACCGACATACTCAGACTTCTAGTGGACAAGCCTTGGCCTCTTCCAAACAGACCAGACTTACTGGCCCAAGGTCCCCTATCTCAGCCTGACTCTCAGTCAATGGTTTTTAATGACATTGCTTTTGAAACCCAAGTCCTAAAGGATAAGGATATTTCTGACTATTTTTCCCACTTAACATAGAACAAGAAAGTCCAAATCCTACAAGATTTACCATCACACATGGAAGGCTTTGTTTGCATAGTACAAAAACAGACTGCTGAACCTCTATCACCATTATTTTGGTTTTTCTTCAGTCTGATCTTGACCAGATTTTGTTCCTAAGTACTCATGAGGGACAGCCTTCTGCTTTATCCATTTTCTTCAAGTTACTTCTTGCCTCCTGAACAAGACTTTTCTACAGCGAGTTCCTCAGATAAAACCTTCAATTTCACACCTGTGTCACCTTGGGATCTCAACCTTGTTGTCTTTGTCCTGTGAACCAGTTAAAGACATTTCATGGGAAGATTTGTAAGGTTTCCTTCCTAGTCTCCATTCTGTTAGGCACATTTCTGAGTTGACAGCTCTTCTAAAACAAAAAAAAAATTTATTTTCTTTCCACAGGGACAATGTGATCTTGAAACCAAAACTGTCCTTTTTAAGAAGGTCTCTTCTTTCCACCTCATTGAGGGCATGGTTCTTCTTCCCTCTGTACTGCCCCAAAACATGACAAGGAAATTGCTCTACACTACTTAAGTCAGGGCTTTCAGGGTCTACCTAGCAGCAATGACCTCTCTTTGCAAGACAAGTCCCTCCTTTGTTCTGTCTTTAGGTAGTGAGTCCTACTTCCCGTTTCACCATTGCCAGGTCGATCAAGCAACTTATTTCCAGGGCCTACTCCTTTTAAAGAAAGGGTTCCCCCTTTCCCATCAGAGCTCATTCCACCAGGGCTGTTGGTGTCTCATGGACTTTCTAGCATAAGTCATCTATATCCCAGACTTGCAAGGCTGCCACCTAGTCCTCTGTTCACACATTCTCTAAGGTCGACCAGGTGTATGTTTTTGTCTTGGCTGATGCAAGTTTCATCCGTAAGGTTCTTCAAACCTTTATCTGAGTATTTTTTTGAGTTCTTTAAACCCTTTTTTTGCTTGGCAGTTCTGTTTGCTGTGCTGTTGTCCAACCCTCAGTTGCTTGGGGGATGGGGGGTGAGGAAATCCCATGGTCTATGAATACATGTCCTGTGTCCAGCACTGTATGATAAAAATGGTAAGAATTTTGACTTGCCTGTAAATTCCTTACCTTAAAGTACAGTACAGGACACATGCCCCTCCCCTCTGTTCTTGCAATTTCTTTGTTGCTTTCTTCAAAAACTAAGACTAGCTGAGAGTGAGGTTATATAGGGGTTTGTCTGTGCAGCTTTTTTATTTTCTGGTGTCCAGTCACCTAAAGGTAGCTGCATATAATCCAGTCGTAATGATTTAAAGAAGTCTGTGTCCTGTAAATCAGGAACCTGTATACTGCAATATAATAAAATCCCTGGCACTTGGTACATAACTCAGATATGGTTGGGCTAGGCTTCATTGTACTTACCACTTGTGCTTGGAGTTTTCCCCAGGCACTGGGGTCAGTGTGAGATCAGGCACTGATTTGACTACATACGTTTAATTTAGAAATCATAACATTTATTGTTTAAAATGTGAATAGGCTGGGGAGCTTTTAGAACCTGTGTTGGGTTTTTATTATGCCATAGTTACAAAAGTTTCCCTAGACAAGAAGTGAGGGAGAGTCTCCAACACAGGGACACAGAGAACACTGAAAAGTTGAGGATTCTAGCCTTTCCCTACTCAGAAATGCATATTTTTTTTGTTTGTGTTGCTGTTGGAGATTTACTCTCACTTCTTTCTAGTGAGACCATTGTCGCTTGGGGACAGTGGAAAATTGCTTATAACTGAGCTCTAGATAGCAGTAAAAACCTGACAAGGGTTCCCTACTCCACTTCAACCAGAACAAAAGGAAAATATTTTGGCTGCACATATGTTGTACTTTAGACAATTCTACATAAACAATTACAGTATATATATACAATTTCAGCCTTTCATTTTGTCTAGAATTTCAGGTTATTTGTGTAGCTGTGGAAATTACGGCAGTCCAAGCTAAATGGCAATCGCCTGCTCTTTCAACTGATATTGGAAAAAAACAGCTGGAATTAATTTAGATATTAGAAAATAAATGGTATTAGGGACTTGGATGATAACCTTGCATTAACAACTCCAATTCCATACAGTTATATATCCTTATTGTTTCTTCAGAGAACCTAATAGCTGGCCCATGTTACTTTGTCTACTTACAACCTGTAGTATTAAGCAAAAATAAAAAAAAAAGATTTTTCTTTCGAACTATGGCCTTTTAAATTCTAAAAGCAGTTGGCACAAGTATATCAAGATGAAGAAAATAATCAGCGCAGCGATAAAAGTTAACATTCCCTCTAATATTGTTTATCTGCCTGAAGTACGTGCTCTATATTTTGAAACTTTACAGAATGTTGTTTTATCCTCTAAAATGGGGCACAGAACTGTACTAGTGCTGTACCTAATTAATACATATATCTAAAACTAAATGTTTCTGTGTAGGGAAGTCTGGGATGTATTTTGTAGAAGACTCTGCTCCTGACACCGTGGAATCTAATGTAAGTGAATTTCATCAGTCTGTAAACAAAACACGTTATGCAGCTCTTTTTCTTTTATGCTGTGTCCATGTTTGCAAAGGAACTCTCTAAGACAAATGAAATCATCTGTATTTGCAAAGGCATTTGGTGCACATAAAGTAGACCTATATCCATTGAATAAAAGTTGTGCCTGGAGTTAATCTTAAACAAAAGGAGTGGGGCCTTAAGTAAACCTGTACCTTCCTCTGCAGGGCAATGCAACAGAGGTATGTTAATTCCACCTCCCCAGAAGAACACATTTAAATTTCCATCATCTGCCACTTGATTAGCTACTGGAGGCAGAAGTAGCAGCCCTATATAACAAGAATGGAACTTGTTACAGTTATGTGGTGTGATCATATTAGCTTACAGCAGCAACAATTTTCCCCCACTGGATAGGTCCTAAGTTGCGGGAATCATTTAGTACTATCCTTTGGCTTATACAGCAGTGATTGCGCAAGGGTATTATTGTAATATAGCAACCCTTTGTGAGCTGTACATCACATAAGTCTTCCTGTGACAGTTCTGGTGACGGCAAAGAAAAAAGCAAAGTAAAGGTTAGTATATGGGAGGATTAAAGCAAATCGGTTAATCCGCGCTGTCTGTGTTTATGGACGCAGGCAGTGCAGCTCGGAATCAAGCCCACAGGTGTACTCCTATAGCAATTGGCTTGCTATGTTGGCACACTCCAGAAGAGGAGTTCCGGGGCCGCTCTGTGTAATTCAATTGCACAGAGCAGGCAAGTATAACATATTTGTTTTTATTTCGACTTTACAATCCCTTTACACAGGTACTGTTTTGGGTGTTTTCTTTTTCTAAGCATATTATCAATTTTTTTTTTTAACCACTTGCCACTGGGGCCATATGCAAAAAAAATAAGGGTTTATGCTGTACTGTCTTATGTATGCTTCTGTTTTGTTTTGGGATCATGCTCAATTGTGCACCCCCAGCACTCTGACTGTTACTGACAGCTCCCTGTCACACAGTTATGTGCTGGTAGGATGGGCTCCTGATCACACAATCACTGTGATAGTCATGGCAGTAAGGGGTTAGCATTCTTGTAATTATTCTGGGTTGGTAGATCTATTTCCAATCTTAGATAAAACTACACATTCCTCACTCTTTCTTGTTGATAAGTTCACTGAAGGTTATGAATTATGTGTATATATATATATATTTTTATATATATTTTTTTTTTTAGTCATTGCTTGGTGAATCAGAACCTGCTTCATTTTCCTGGACTTATGAAGAAATTAAAGAAGTTCATAAACGCTGGTGGCAGCTTCGAGACAATGCTGTAGAAATTTTTTTAACAAATGGAAGAACCTTGTTGCTTGCGTTTGACAATACCAAAGTATGTTTATAATTATTATGTATGGTATTTTATTTATTTTTTTTACGAAACTTTACTATTTTTCTTTTATCAATTAAAAAAAAATGTCTTTTGAGTGTCCTGTTCTGGAAAAAACCCATATGTGTGCTGTAAATGATAAAGAGCAAACAAACCTCAAACCATTCCAATAGTTCAACGCAGAAGGCATAGTAGCTTTAATAGAGAAATGCAGTTTTTTCTATAAAATGTTTAAACTTTGGTTAACCAGTTACCGCCCGGCCTATAGCCAGATGGCGGCTAGGCGAACAGCTCGTCCCTCCAGGTAAACGCCATATGGCGTCCTTTCCGGAACGCGCATTGTGCATGCCCACAGGGCCGTGCTGCGGCATGATCTGTCACCGGCCGTGTACCTCAGACATAGCCGATGACAGATCTGTGTACTGGCCCCGTTGCCAATACCATGTGACCTGCTGTAACCAATCACAGCAGGTCACATGTCAGTTGTATACTATGGATGGCTTCCTTTCATGCCATCCATTGTGTACAAGTGTGTCTAGTTGTGAATGGTCACAGCGATCACATGCACAAACTGGGCCAATCATGATTAGTCATGGCCAAATCACAGCTAATCACAAAAAAAAAAACCCTGAATGAATCGATTTCATTCAGGTAAATGCTTGCTTATAGCAAAGTACTTCTTTGCTATGAGCAAATTGTGTAAAAAAAAAAAAAAAAAAAAAAAAAAGAATATACTGATCACTTCCCCATAGTAGTACAATGTTACTATGGTAACATTGTACTACTTTGGTCATAGTGAAATATGAAAAAAAAATCTTAAAAAAAAAAAAAGAGAAGAAAATTTAATAAAAAATTTAAAATAATAAAAAAAATGTAAAAAAAAGTTTTAAAAAAATTATCTTTTTTTTTTTCTTTCGTACTGTCACCAGTGAGTGTCCCTGATCACTGCCATGCCAGTTATATGATGACACTATACTGCACTGAAGACAGTATGTAAAAAAAAAAATAGTGAAAATAGTTTTTTTAATTTCTTCATTTTCAGAAAAATTATGACAAAAAAATTACAACTTCAAAAAACTCGCCATGCCTGTTATGAAATACGTTGGACTGTCTACTTTGGAAAAAGGGTTCATTTGGGGGATATCTGTACTGTTCTGACATTCTTGGACCTCAAGAAATTATATTGGCTGTCAGTACTTCAGGTCTAGCAATTTTCAGATATATCCCATAGTTTGTGAATTCTAGAATTTCCTACAGACTAAATAAAAAATACTAATTTGGGTTATTTTCACCAAAAGAAATGTAGCAGAATACATCTTGGCCTAAATTTATGATGAACAATTATTTGTTTGCAAACTTTTATAACAGAAACAAAGAAAAACGTCTTTTTTTTTTTTTTTAATTTTCAGCCTTTTTTTGTTAATTTAGCAAAAAATAAAAACCCCAGTGGTGATTAAACACCACCAAAAGAAAGCTCTAGTTGTGTGAAGAAAATGATAACATTTTAGTTTGGGTACAATGTTGTATGACCGCACAATTGTCATTCAAAGTGTGAGAGCGCTGAAACCCGAAAATTGGCCTGGGCAGGAAGGGGGTAAAAGTGCCCGGTATGGAAGTGGTTAAAGTAGTACATTATGTCAGCCAAATTTGCTTCCAAATGCCACTGAGGTCACTACTGGATATATCAAGACTGTTTGGGTCAAATAGTAATAGCGTCTGTAACTTCTTACCCATTGTGTGCAGCCAGTGTTTTTTCCCAGGGAGCAACATGTTTCCAGCTGCTATCCTTTTCCTTGTCAAGCACATGCTTTATAGGCCTTCAGCCAATTCATCGAATGGCTTTTATTAGGTATTGCAGGAAGTGAACACTGTAGCTTCCATAATATTCCATAAAGATCTCTGGTTGTTTTTCATTTGGCTATGTGTGTATTTTTCATATCAAAGCTAGATAATATATGGGGCATCATATGTGTTTATACTGTATCTATATATATTATTTGTCAGGGTTAACTCATCCTGGCTGTAAAAACATTGAGTGGAAGCTATATCCTGTATTCTGCTATCTATTTCTAGTACAGCTGTCTCTAAAATAAATGTCACTCGTTTTATTTTTATCTCAAAATATTTTGAAATGCGCAAAAAAAGAAATTGACCAGATTACCTTTTTAGATTAACAGAACTATTGGAGTTAATATTTCCCATGGAAAAAATATAAGTGATTCTAAAATGTAGTTATCTTTTTCTAAAGTAACAAACGTCATACTTACCTACTCTGTGCAATGGTTTTGCACAGAGCAGCTCTGTGTTTACTCTACTCTGGTCCCCCCTGGTGGCTGCCTTGATGCCACTTCTTCTCTGAGTACCCCTATAGCAAGCCCCTTGCTATGGTGGCACTCGTGGGCTTGATCTCAAGTCGGGCTGTGTGCACTCAGTGCTTTTCAGTCCCATTTCAGCTGTTCACAGTTGATTGACAACAGCCAATGGCTTGCTGCTGAGCCTCCTGTGAGAGAGGGGAGAGAAAAGCATGCTGTTGTAGATGGGCTCAGCATTGGATAGAGATCGGACTCGGGTAAGTATCTCAGGGGGCCAAAGAGGGAGCTGACATGTAAGGGTTTTTTATTACTTTAACTTTTATGAATAGACCTCTAGGTAAACTTCTATAGTAGGATAAGAGTTTTAAGATTCTACAGATTTGTATATGTTTATAAGATGAAGTACAATTTTTTTTTTTTTTTTTTTTTTTTTTTTTTAGGTGCGAGATGATGTTTACCAGAAAATTTTATCCAATAATCTTCCCAATCTGTTGGAGTATGGAAATATTACAGCTCTCACTCAGCTCTGGTGCTCTGGTCAAATAACCAATTTCGAATACCTTACACATTTAAATAAGCACGCAGGGCGCTCCTTTAATGATCTAATGCAGTATCCGGTTTTTCCATTTATTCTAAGTGATTACACAAGTGAGACACTTGACCTGAACAACACTAATATCTACAGGTAAAGTAATTTTGCTTTTTTGATTTTATTTGTTTACGCTGTAGTTTTAATATATTTTTTTATTGCTACTGATCATTGCCAGATGGCAAGTGCTCTTTCTAAATCAAAACACTGGGTTGCCAAAATGTTGCCAGGGTGCTTCTCAGCTATTATGGACATGTTAGAAAGATGGACAGAAAGCTGCATTGAGTCAGGAGGTTTCAATAAAACTCCAGTGCAAAGCTGCTGTTAAAGTATTTAAAAATTGATTTAGCTTAATATTAGAAATAATTCTGAATAATGATAGACTCATGTGAAAGGGAAAGCTTTATTAAGAAAAAAATGCTAGATTCCTGCCTGTCTTGATTCAGTGGCTTATTTACTGACTCACAGACCTGAAATCACGTAGTCAAGTGTGCTCTGTTTATTTTCCATTTGCTTGTTCCTTGTCTTTGGCTCTCCAAGGTAAGGCAAAAATTTGGCTTAAATTAAAGCCAGAGCTGCCCATGAAAGCAGGCATGCGTAGAAGGCAGTCAGCAGTGGTTTCCCTATATCAATAGAGGGGTCGGATTTTATGGTATTAGTTTATCTTAGTGTTTTTGTCAGTATTTTTTTTTTTTTTTTTTCATTGACTGATTCATTTTAATTTGTGGAATATAATTACTTAATTTTATATAATACAAAAAATATGTTGATTTGTATGAGAGCTGTTTTTTTCATATTTAATCCCTGTGAGACAATTATATTCATTAAATACTGGTCACTTCAGTAAAGTGATACTATTGATATCATGTGAAAGCAGACTACAGATGGGCAAATTCTGCTGTTCCCTTCGGACTGTAAGATGCTGCAGGATGCAACTTGTGTTTCCTGACCTCATTTCCAGCAATCTAAAGCCTTATTTTATTAAGAATTGAGAGTGATGATTTTTAACCCCCCAGAAATGCAGTTACTTAGTACCTACTGGCTAGTACTGTGCTGCTCTGCCATTTGAATTTCATCTACTTATTAATTTGCAGGAATCTTGTCAAGCCTATTGCTGTACAATCTAAAGAAAAGGAAGATCGGTACATAGATAATTACAAGGTAATTTTGTAAAATTCAATTTAAAACAAAAAAGTTTGTAGAAGATATCATGGCTGCTCCAATGAGCCCTTAAAGCAAAAGTTATTCCTTTTTAGTAATTTACAGGTATTGTAAGTATTGGTCATTTTCTCATTGCAACTCCGTAGCATAGGCTTATAAAGACTGCCTATGGAAAATATATATAATATGTACTTAAAGAAGTGTGGGAAATGGAAAAAAAAAAAAACATACATACAGTCAGGTCCATAAATATTGGGACATCGACACAATTCTACCATTTTTGGCTCTATACACCACCACAATGGATTTGAAATGAAACGAACAAGATGTGCTTTAACTGCAGACTGTCAGCTTTAATTTCAGGGTATTTACATCCAAATCAGGTGAACGGTGTAGGAATTACTACAGTTTGCATATGTGCCTTCCACTTGTTAAGGGACCAAAAGTAATGGGACAATTGGCTTCTCAGCTGTTCCATGGCCAGGTGTGTGTTATTCCCTCATTATCCCAATTACAATGAGCAGATAAAAGGTCCAGAGTTCATTTCAAGTGTGCTATTTGCATTTGGAATCTGTTGCTGTCAACTCTCAAGATGAGATCCAAAGAGCTGTCATTATCAGTGAAGCAAGCCATCATTAGGCTGAAAAAACAAAACAAACCCATCAGAGAGATAGCAAAAACATTAGGCGTGGCCAAAATAACTGTTTGGAACATTCTTAAAAAGAAGGAAGGCACCGGTGAGTTCAGTAACACCAAAAGATTCGGAAGACCACGGAAAACAACTGTGGTGGATGACCGAAGAATTCTTTCCCTGGTGAAGAAAACACCCTTCACAACAGTTGGCCAGATCAAGAACACTCTCCAGGAGGTAGGTGTATGTGTGTCAAAGTCAACAATCAAGAGAAGACTTCACCAGAGTGAATACAGAGGGTTCACCACAAGATGTAAACCATTGGTGAGCCTCAAAAACAGGAAGGCCAGATTAGAGTTTGCCAAACGACATCTAAAAAAGCCTTCACAGTTCTGGATCAACATCTTATGGACAGATGAGACCAAGATCAACTTGTACCAGAGTGATGGGAAGAGAAGAGTATGGAGAAGGAAAGGAACTGCTCATGATCCTAAGCATACCACCTCATCAGTGAAGCATGGTAGTGTCATGGCGTGGGCATGTATGGCTGCCAATGGAACTGGTTCTCTTGTATTTATTGATGATGTGACTGCTGGCAAAAGCAGCAGGATGAATTCTGAAGTGTTTCGGGCAATATTATCTGCTCACATTCAGCCAAATGCTTCAGAACTCATTGGACGCCGCTTCACAGTGCAGATGGACAATGACCCAAAGCATACTGCAAAAGCAACCAAAGAGTTTTTTTTAAGGGAAAGAAGTGGAATGTTATGCAATGGCCAAGTCAATCACCTGACCTGAATCCGATTTGAGCATGCATTTCACTTGCTGAAGACAAAACTGAAGGGAAAATGCCCCAAGAACAAGCAGGAACTGAAGACAGTTGCAGTAGCGGTCTGGCAGAGCATCACCAGGGATGAAACCCAGCGTCTGGTGATGTCTATGCGTTCCAGACTTCAGGCTGTAATTGACTGCAAAGGATTTGCAACCAAGTATTAAACAGTGAAAGTTTGATTTATGATTAATATTATGTCCCGTTACTTTTGGTCCCTTAACAAGTGGGAGGCACATATGCAAACTGTTGTAATTCCTACACCGTTCACCTGATTTGGATGTAAATACCCTGAAATTAAAGCTGACAGTCTGCAGTTAAAGCACATCTTGTTCGTTTCATTTCAAATCCATTGTGGTGGTGTATAGAGTCAAAAATGGTAGAATTGTGTCGATGTCCCAATATTTATGGACCTGACTGTATAAACCACGGGTGTCAAACTGGTGGCCCTCCAGCTGTTGCCAAACTACAAGTCCCATGAGGCACTGCAAGATTGACAGTTACAAGCATGAACCCCAAAGGCAGAGGAATGATGGGACTTGTAGTTTTGCAACAGCTGGAGGGCTGCCAGTTTGACACCCCTGATATAAACAAACATACATACTCACCTCTATGGCTGCAGCATTTCTGTAATGCTGCAGTTGTTCCCCGCTGGCTTTAAGCCCTAGAATTGAGTGATCAACTGATCTCTCATTTCCCAGGACCACTTTGAGCAGTGAGTAGTAACTGTCAGTCACTACTCTCTGCTCTGCTTGAGAGGCTGAGCAAGCATCCGGTCAGGCATCTGGGTGGATTCTGGCATTGTTTATCCTGCTGTCAGCTGTTTCTGGGTCACAGGAGTGCAAAACTAAGTGCTCTCCTTGACTCATAAGAGAAGTATGACCAAACAAGCTTTGGCAATACTTCTCTTTTAATTTACACAAAACGGTAACAAAACTATGCAATGTCTGCTTTTTGTTATTTCACTTGTAAAGTTTTGAAAAAAAAAACATTTCAGCTTGGCTTTCAGTAAATGTATTGATTGAGTGCCAGTCTTTAAATCGGCTTTGATACTTTGGTCTCCTGCTAAAGGAACAGTCCTCTCCTTGGATTTGACTCATAGATTGGACTACTTGGCCTTGATCTTGGACATGGCCTTGTCCAGGATCTTACTGCATTGTCACAAACTTCTGTACCTCCGCTCACATGCTGGGCCCTCCAGCCTCCCGGTTGGCTCTCTATTTTGTGACTCCATGAAGGTCTTTGGGTCCAATAGTAGCCTCTTTCGTGGTAGTGCATATGCCCAGCTTCACTCCAGACCATTGCAACCAAATTTTCTGGCAGCATAGGACAAACATACTACATTCTTAGAGAGCCCCCTTGCATCTGATCTGCAAGGTCAGACTTTATCGGGCTTTACGGGGAAACCTTATAATATCTAAGGTTCTCATGATGGATGCCAGTCTATCAGGCTGCGGAGGAATCGTTGACTACCCCACCAGAATGTTGTCAGACAGTGCCATGACATCAACCATCAAGGAGGCACCAGATGTATTCAAAGAGAAAATGAAGAAAGAAGAATTGATGCCCTGTCAGTTGTTCCCATCCCAAGCATGAAAAATTGTCAGGTGGACTTACTCAGCCATCAGTATCTGGATCTGGGAGAATGGGTTCTCAACCCAGAGTAGTCTAAGCCTATTGCCATTAGTGGGGGATGCCAGATGGTCATTTACAGTTGTCTAGATTCAACAACAAACTAGACAGGTTTGTCCCCAGGTCCAGGTACCCTCTGGCCTTCGTGGGATCAGCTGAACATGATCTTCTCCTTTCCTCCTGCAGCTTCTCCCTTGTCTGCTCCACAGGATCCAGATGGAGGACATTCCAGTGATTACACTGAACTGAACCAGAGGACATGGTACTCAGACACTGGCGAACTCTCCTTAGACCCTTCCATATCGGATCTTCTATCAGAAGGGCTGGTCCATATTCCTTCTTCTTGGTTGCTCGCTTTAATAGCATGGCTCTTGAAATCGACTTCTTACAAAGTCTGCCATTAAACCTGGAATGTCTACTTTGCATGGTGTGAGGCTAGGATGCATTCTGTCCCTTTTCTGGTCTGGTCTGGACCAGCATGTGACCTTGAGTACCATCAAAGGGCAAATCTCAGCTTTGGCTGCCTTGTTTCAAAGAGCGTTGACATGTCATTCTTTGGTTAAGGCCTTTGCACAGGGTGTTGCACACATTTCTCTCTCTGTACATTCCTCTGTAACCCCTTTGGAATTTAAGGTTCTTTCTGCTTTCATAGGTCACCCTTTGTACACATTAGGTTTATTCCCTTGTCTGACCTCATTCTGCTTTTTTTAATGCCATTACCTTGGTGCGGAGGGTCTCCTACTTAGTGGCCTTGTCCCATAACAAGCCTTTTATAGTGTTATACAGGAATAAGGTTGTCCTGAGCCTTAAATCCTCATTTTCCCCAAGGGTTATTTTCTCCTTTTGCCTCAACCAGAACATTGTCCTCCCCTCCTTATGTCCTGGTCTGAAACTTTCCAAGGAAATTTCTCTCTACTGCCTGACTTATTACACGATGTGGGAGTCCACCATATTGCTACAACCTCCTTTCAGTAATCAAATTCCTTCTTTGTCCTTACAGAAGATTCCAACAGGGGGCTTCCAGCTTCATTCAAGTCCATAATCTAAAGGATAGGGTTTCTTACATGCTAAGGCACACTCCACCAGATCAGTTAGTGCTTCATAGCCATCTCAGCATCAGGCATCCGTTCTTCAGATTTGCAAGGCTTCTATCATTCTTTTCACATGTTTAGGTTTTAACAAATGGATTTTCATGTCTCCTCTGATGCCAGTTTTGGCCATGAGGTGCTGCAAGTTGTTCTCGGTGTTCTTCAAGAGCTCTTCTTGACCAGTTTGTTAATTGTGCCTGTTGACTTTGTTTGCTGTATGGGACACCCCTCATTTTTGCCTGCTTTTGGACATTCCATGGTAATGACCAAGTTAGCGTGTGCTGTGCTGTACAATTCAGAAGATAGGATTTTTGACTTCCCAGTAAAATCCATTTCTTGGAGTGCAGTGTAGGACACAAATCCCTTCTCTCGCCTCAAAGCTGAGGTTTGTTGTGAGTGTAAGGGTTTGTATAGGAGATGTCCCTACAGCTTTCGTTTTAGCCAGTGTCTAATCACCTAGAGGTAGCTGCATATAACCCATTGCTTTGACTAACATTCTGTGTTCCATACTGTACTTATGAAAAAGATTTTACTGGTAAGTAAAAAATCCTATGATTTTTGGTACTTATGTATGTAATTAAATCTGCCTTTATATCCCTTATCTATAATATTCATCTTAGGAGGATGTACATTGAAAGAGGTAGGGCCATCATTGTGAACCAGTTATGCTTCATGCCAATTAGAGTGTTGTCAATCTAATATAACAAACTTAGTGGCAGGGCAAACAGATTCTTGACCAAGTTGGACAGCTTAGAGTAAACCTTTTCTAGGTTAAATTGATTGCTGCTGCTAACCTTGTTTTGAAAGTTGTAGTTGCCTAGCTATTTTGTTAAGTATTTTTAAAGCCACTGAAGTCTTTGACGACTTGCTCATTCTGGGTTAGTGACTGATGGTATCTACTCCATGACTGTTAAGGCAGGGGTGCTCAACCTGTGACCCCCAGGCCACATGTTTCCCTCGTAGCCCTGTGATGTGGCCCATGACCTCAAACCAGGGAAGCGCACGTCTATTATATCCTGTGGGTTTGGTGCGCTTTCTGAAAGCACACCAAAGCTCCTAAATGCATGAGTTTTGGTGTGCATTCAGAAAGTGCACCACATCCCCAAGATATAATAGAAGTGTATTACAAAGAGTGGGAAAGCTGCAGGTGCACTGTGCTGCACCTGCGGAGCTGGTAGACCACAACACATCAGTGTGGAAACAGCTTTTTAGGGGACTCAGGACAGTAAGGGCTCATTTACATTTGCAGTTTGGGGTTTCCACCCCTGCCCCCCTCAAAAAAAATCAATCACATATCCCCCTTTGCCAATCAGGTACAACTGCACCCTATCAGCCAGTCACAACTTTCCCTATTAGATAGAGATCCCTATAGAGCCTCTCCCTACAACATTCCTCTATAGTGTGCCCCCCTCTCATCATTTACAAATCTCCATCTCCAGCCAGCACTCATTACACACTTTTCACATTTATGTAATCCATGTGGTGTCCTCTTCACCTTCTCACCTCTTGCTATAACCCTCAAAATGCTGAACCCCCATGCCGGGTTGCATCATGGCTCATTCACTTTGCCACTTAAGCAAAGCATTGCAGTCACAGCATGGGTACAGCCTTGCATTGCGGTGTTGCTTTGTTTGGGTGGGTAGTAAAAGCATGGCTCAACTGCCTGCTTTAACCCCTGCCACTTGCATGAATGAGACCTTAAAATGCTGATGTAATAAAATGAATGTGTGTGCTGTGACCATAGACCCTCATGACTCTTGACTTTGTATATTAAAGGCTGTTTCAGTTTGATAAACTAACTGTTATTTGAAGTTAATATCACTGCTATTTTTGACTAGATGTTTCATCTTAATTTTAGTATTTGGAAGATGAATACTGTAAAGGAGATAAAGAAGATGATCCAATGCCTCCAGTGCAGCCATATCATTATGGATCACATTATTCAAACAGTGGCACCATACTGCATTTCATGGTCCGAATGCCTCCTTTCACCAAAATGTTCCTGGCATATCAAGGTCTGATTAAACAATAACATTATTGTCTTTATTTTTGTTTTTGTTTTTTTTTTTAGGGTGAAATCTATAGATGGAAATGTTTAGTGATGTGTGTAAAGCAGCTTCTCTTGAACTATGTGTGATATTAAACAATTAGATTTTTTGGGGGGACATTTTATTAATCTTTGGATTTTGAATATTGTATTATTTGTAAACCGTATGGGAGATTTGTGGTGCCGCTCGAGGCTGGATGCAGGTGAAAGCCACCCCACCGGCAGAGGGAGGAGCAGCATCCCAAGTTAATCCAGAAACTAATGTGGTATATGGAGGAGCAGACGCCGCTCAAAACCGATCCCCAAAGTCAGACAATGGTGGCATGTTGTAGATGGCCTCATCCCCTTCGGGCTTGGTGAAGGGCCCTGATGAAGTCACATGTTAAGAGTGACGATACGCGTTGGCGGTGACGCACTTCCGGTCGGATGCCTTCTATATTTACATTGGACACCCATGCAAGTACATCTGATCTGAGGTTTGATTTACATGTGATGTACAAGATGATTTTAAATGTGAGCATATTCGATATGTGATACTTTGGTGAATAAATAGTTTTACACTATGCAAGCATTCACTTCTATTTTCTGAGGGATCAAGTGGCTGCAGCCACCTTATGTGCCTGAAGAGGAGATCTGCTGCCCTGTGAGCCTGTGCTGGAATCTGTACATGAGGGGAGGTCAGTGTGGAGAGCTGTGGAGGATTACCTACTATTAAGGGTCCATGTGTTAGTGATCCTGAAGGCCTTTTGACCCTGTGCGGGTCGCAAGAGGGAGGTGAGCGGGCAATTAAGCCATTTTTGGATATCTCTGCACATTTATCAGCACTTTTTTTTTTTTTTTTTCCTTCTTCAAGAATTGCTGTGGACTTTATATATGGTTTTTTGTATATTGTCAGATGTTTTACACCTCACGGCACTTTATATATTTATTCATATTTGTTTGCATGATCAGTTCTTAGTTTATGCGTTTATTGGGATGCACGTGTGTTTTGTGTTATATGGTGGGAACTGATTTTTAGTTCCGGTGGGAGTTTTTTTAGCACATTGAGTCCTGTTGTGACATACTTGTTTGATTTGGAGCACTATTGGATCCCATTGGATTACTTGGGGCACCATTTATGTTATTTGGTCCTTTTAGGACCTCGTATTGACACCTGTCACATGTGATTATTTATGAGTTTTTTGACACTATTTAATATTGTGTATTTGTGTCACTAATTTTGCACTGTTTCACTTATTCATTTATGTGTGAAGAATTTTTATGGTAGTAGCGCTGCATCATTTGTGTTTCATTTATATTTTTTGTCTATCGGTATATGACTGTATGTAGCAGCTTTACCTTTGTTGGTAGGTATTAGTTTTTAGGTAGGAGCGCAGGAGTTTGTCACATTGATTAAAGAACACATATTAAAGAGACATAGAAGGAGACATATTATAATATGGGCATAGAGAAAGATATGTAACGTTAGAAAACGAAATGCAGAAGGAATAAAACATTAGATATAAAAAAGAAAAATAAAGCAAAATGATAAAAAGAAAATGTATGAGAAAATGTGTAGAAATATGTAATGAATAAAAATTAAAAAAAAAAGAATAAAGACATTTTTTTCTGTCTTCTCTTTTTTGATTTTCCTTCCTGTTTATTTTTCTTGTTTATCATTTTCTCTCCTTTTTCACATATGTTCCCCTGATTGGTTTATTTCTTTTAGTATTTTTTATTTTTTCATTCTCTCACTTTACATATCTTTCTCTATGCCCATGTTATAATATGTCTCTTTAGTATTTCTTCTTTAATGTTTTTTCTGTACCTCCCGCAAACACACCTGTCTTCCCAGCCGATGATGCTACTTTTAGTTCTCTGGCTGTCTGTTTCCTATGCCTCTGTGACCAAGCCCCGATGGGCAGAGCTAAAAGCATCAGAGGGCATGGCTGGAGCTGTGGTTGAGGTAATCTACAACACTCCACCATTGTCTGACTCCAGGGATCGGTTTTGAGCAGTGTCCACTCCTCCATATTTTATCAAATGTTAATGTTCCTTAGTTATTGTAGTTTATAAATAAATGTGTTCGTTTTCTTACAGATCAAAGTTTTGATATCCCTGACAGAACATTTCATTCTATGAATACAACATGGCGTTTGTCTTCCTATGAATCAATGACTGATGTCAAAGAGCTTATTCCGGAATTTTTCTATTTGCCTGAATTTTTGGTGAATAGAGAAGGTAAGTTATTTTTTACAAATGAAATATTGCTTTAGGTTGGCATAAGATTTAAAGTGGAACCGAACTGAAAAAAGTGAAGATTTGCTTAGTTATTGTATATTTTATCTAAAATTCCTCCTGAAAACAACAATGCACTTCTTGGTATATGAGCAGCCTTTGGTACTCTTTTGGTACTCCAGCATCATACAGTGGATATAGAAAAGAATCGCTTCCCTTTAAAATAATCACATGTTGCTTTGCATAAATAATCATGAAATGCAGCGCTAGTCAAATGATGAATAAAACAATGATAAAATATGAAAAAACGTGCGCCGTGGAGCGCTAGGGATATTCGTGAAAGTAGTGTCTGGATATGACACATAAAGTGCAATAGTGACACAGATCTGCATAAATAGGTAAAAACGTCCAATACATATAAATGGGTGAATTCTGTGACTCCATTGGATGGAAAAATGAGTATATCTTACACTAACCAGAAAGCACAATTATAAGCGCATTTGAGTAAATTACACCACTCCTGGTCACCTGTATCCTAAAGGTAACCCAGGGGATCATCTGGCACACATCTGCACATCAGTTGATCATCCGGCTGCTACTCTCCAGGTTTCCAGGGTAAATCCCATCCGGTGTAAATGGACCAGTATTAGGCAATAGGAAAATCAGGAATCCACCTTAAAAAGCTCATCAATAAACAAGCCAGTGAAAGAGTGCCTAATAGTGCAGTAATTTTTTATTTAATTCGCATGAATTGTGTAAAAACATAGTGCACGCACATCTGGCAGTGAAAACAGAAACATGATGGCCACCGGCCGTCCTCGTGGCCTGTGCGGCGTAACGTCACTGGCTTGGCTCCTCTCTAACGTGTTTCGTGCTTGTGCATGTTTTCGAAGGGAGCATGCCAAAGCCTGAAGTCTACTTATATATGTTGCCGCACGCATGCATGGTTCGCTCATTAAACGCCATATTGGTGTAGCCGCGCATGCACAGTGCATCCGAGAACGGCTATATTAGTGGCGATAGTCATTATGCAGCAAGGGGAAGAACGGACCTATATAAGATCCACTGGAATGTTTAACTTAAAGCACCTAATAGGTGATTTGGGGTAATTAAATAGTATTGTGGCAATTAAGAAATGCTAATGTGGGACAAGTCTATTAACCTATCCCAGCGACACAAGGACAAGCTTAAATGTACGCCCGGACTAAGACGTACCGGAAGTGGCAGGGCCATTTTTTTGAGGTCCTGTCTAAGTTATCATAAAATAACGAGACCCAATAATAAATGGTCAGAGTAAATGACCAATTGTACAATCCTTCGTACTACAGATCCCAGATAATATGTGTGATTTTAAATTGCGTTGTTCCTTTGCATATTACAATAACAGATATCCTAATCAATAATTGAAACGTGATGTGACATTAATTAAATAAAATAACATACACATAAATATAATTAAATCACAAATGATAAAAAACAAGCCAGATGTGCAAATACATATATATATATTAAAAACAATCAAGTATAATAAAAAAAGGGGGATCCAAATATGACCATAAAATGAAATTAAGATCTCAAAATGTAAAGGTAAAAAAATGATAAACTAAAATGAAGATAAAATTAAAAAGGACCCCAAAATTACAAGAATGCAGGGATACACATGATACTAAAAAAAAGTAACAAAAGATGATAAAAAGATGAAAAATTAATGCACTGGGATAGTAATATATAATGTATTATATAATATACAGTTGCAAGAAAAAGTATGTGAACCCCTTGGGATTACGTGGAGTTTTGCATGAATTGGGTATAAAATGTGCTCTGAACGTCATCTAAGTCACAACAATAGAAGAACACAGTCTGCTGAACATAATACTACACAAACATTAAATGTTGCCATGGTTTAATTGCACATAACATGTAAACATTTACAGTGCAGGGAGGAAAAAGTATGTGAACCTTTGGACTTAATAACTGGTTGACTCTCCTTTTGCAGCAATAACCTCAACCAAACGTTTCCTGTAGTTGCAGATCAGACCTGCACAACGATCTGGAGTAATTTTGGACCACTCCTCTTCACAAAACTGTTTCAGTGTAGCAATATTCTTGGGATGTCTGGTGTGAATCGCTCTCTTAAGGTCATGCCACAGCATTTCAATCGGGTTGAGGTCAGGACTCTGACTGGGCCACTCCAGAAGGCGTATTCTGTGCTGTTGCAGCCATTGTTTTGTTGAATTACTTGTATGCTTTGGGTCATTGTCCTGTTGCATCACCCATCCTCTGCGGAGCTTCAGTTGGCGGACAGATGGTCCTACGTTTTCCTGCAAAATGTCTTGATAAACTCTGGAATTCATTTTCCCATCAATGACAACAATCCGTCCAGGACCTGAGGCAGCAAAGCAGCCCCAAACCATGATGCTCCCTCCGCCACGTTTTACAGTGGGGATGAGGTTTTGATGTTGGTGTGCTGTGCCTTTTTTTCTCCAAACATAGTGTTGTGTGTTCTTCCAAATAACTCAATCTTGGTTTCATCTGTCCACAGTATATTTTGCCAGTAGTGCTGTGGAACATCCAGGTGCTCTTTTGCAAACTTCAAACGTGCTGCAATATTCTTTTTGGACAGCAATGGCTTCCTCCGTGGTGTCCTCCCATGTACTCCATTCTTGTTTAATGTTTTCCTTATTGTAGATGTGTCAACAAAAATGTTAGCATGTGCCAGAGATTTCTGTAGGTCTTTAGCTGACACTCTGGGATTCTTCTTTACCTCATGCAGCATTCTGCGCTGTGCTCTTGCAGTCATTTTTACAGGACGACCATGCCTAGGGAGAGTAGCAACAGTGCTAAACGTTCTCCATTTGTAGAAAGTCTGTCTTACCGTGGACACATGAACATCAAGGCTTTTGCAGATACTTTTGTAACCCTTTCCAGCTTCATGCAAGTCAACAATTCTTGATCGTAGGTCTTCTGAGAGCTCTTTTCTGCAAGGCATGGTTCACTTTAGACAGTGTTTCTTGAAACCAGCAAACCCAAAACAGGTGTGTGTTTTTTTAAGGGCAGGACAGCTGTCAGCAACACATCCAATATCCTCACACTGACTGGAGTCAAAGTTGGCTCACTCTTGGCTCCAATTAGCTCTGGGAGAAGTCATTAAGCTAGGGCCTCACATACTTTTTCCTCCCTGCACTGTGAATGTTTACATGTTATGTGCAATTAAACCATGGCAACATCTAATGTTTGTGTAGTATTATGTTCAGCAGACTGTGTTCTTCTATTGTTGTGACTTAGATGACGTTCAGAGCACATTTTATGCCCAATTGATGCAAAACTCCACGTAATCCCAAGGGGTTCACATACTTTTTCTTGCAACTGTAAAAATATTATATAAGGTATACTATATATAAAAAATTCTAAAATACTAAAAAATATATATATGACCAGTTAAAACGAGGGAGATTAAACAAGGGACAAAATGTGGATGGAAAGAAAAAGTATACACATATGTCAATAATAATATTAGCTTGTGTCGATCAAACAATTAATATCAAGATCGACATTCAAGCCTTGGAAACAAAGTGGATTTTTCAACTGCATTCACTTGTTCCACATCATGGATACAGTTCTGCGTTTGTGCATTCTTCTCCAGTGTTGCTTAGTGATATCAATACCCACGAATTTTGAACAGGATGGATTCCTATTATGGAAATCACGGAAATGTTTAGAGAGGGAATGTTCTTTGTATCCTCTTTTAATATTATATAAATGTTCCCTCAATCTGTCTGAGTCTTCTCATTGTTCTCCCAACGTACTCTTTACAGCAAGAGCATTCCAAAAGGTAGACCACATGTGTGCTGTTGCAAGTAACAAGTGACCGTATATCATACGTCTTCCCTGTTACATTGGAGCAAAAAGAACTTGTGGGTTTTTTATGAACCCCATTATGAAGACATAGCATGCATCTATTCCATGGGTAGAAACCTCTAAGACCAAAACCAAAAGATAATTGTTTGGGGGGATTGACTACATTTGGGGCTAGAGTGTGCCTTAACGAAGCTGCTTTTCGGTATGTGATCTCTGGGTAGTCCGATAGGGCATTACCTAGTACAGGGTCATTCTTGAGAATAGCCCAATTCTTTTTGATGATTTTCGCAACCTCCTTATACTGCACAGAGACGTTCATAATAAAAGGACAAAACTTATTTGGTTTGGAGGTATCTTTGGGGGTAAAGAGATCCTCTCTGTTCAAGCAGCCAACTTCTGTAATTTCTTTTTCTAAAATAGCTGGGTTATATCCTTTTTCCAAGAATCTATTCTTAAGTATATTGGCTTGTGAAGCAAAATCCTCCATGTCATAGTTTCTACGCAAGCGGAGGAATTGTCCCTTTGGGATATTACTCAGCCAACTTGGATGGTGGCAACTATCCATAGGGATATAACTATTTTTATCTGTAGTCTTAAAAAAGGTTTTAGTAAAAATCCCAGTGCCATTGTTAAAAAGGATGATTGTTAAAAAGTTAATTTCACTATAGTCATATTGATAGGTAAGTTTAATATTTAAATCATTAAAATTGAGGGTAGTGAAGAAGTTAAGAGAAAATTCATCCCCCTGCCAAAGTAAAAGTATATAGTCAATATAACGCCGGTAAAAAATGAGGTCTGGCCAATCCCTAGAGTAGATAAGGTCCTCCTCCCATCTAGACATAAAGAGGTTGGCTAAACTCGGGGCAAATTTGGCACCCATTGCTACGCCTGTGGTCTGCAAATAGTATTTGTCGCAAAACCAGAAGTAGTTATGACTTGTAGTAAAATTGAGGAGTTCCAGAATGAAACTTCTCTGTGGCGTTGTAATATCTGTGGCTGTATTAAGATAAAATTCAGCCACAGCCATTCCATCTGCATGTTTTATATTACTATATAAAGCCGCACGTCCACTGTGACCAGATATGTCGGAGTGTGGAGTTTTCTCTTTTAAGTCAATACTTGTTTGGTATCCTTAAGGAGAGTGG